AGTGAAAAAAATATTAATAAATAAATTAAATAGAATTTTGAAAAAATCAAAATAAATAACATTAATCTAATAAAAATATTTATTCTCATTCATGTTAACATAAATATCTTATATCTTATACTGGAGCAAAAATAAGAATTAAATTATTCTTATGAAAAATTGATTCAACCTTTTTTTAAAAATTAAAACAAAACATGAAGTTATTTTTAAAAAAATTTGGAAATTAAGTACCTTAATAATTTTATCTGTGATAAAATACTGCCCAAAGAACAAATTTTGAAAAAGGAATTCATTCATACTTTTCTCATTAATTCATATTTTTTGAATTGATTCTAATTATTTTTAATAGGTTTCGACATAGAAGATATAATTTTAAAATTTATATGCTTCATGATTTGATTTTTTCATTCATGGTTAAAAACCATTGTGAGAATAAAAAATATTTTGAAAATAGAAACAAAATTTAGAATAAAAAATCAATGAAACAAGTCCTGTTTTTCATGAATTTTTTACATGAAATTAAAATAAAATAAAAAATAAAACCAATTATTATATATTTAAAAATTAAGTATTTTTTATATCAAAAAATATTGAAAAGAATTCAACCGAGAAAAAAAACTTGATTAAAAACAAACTCACCGTATATAATTATTTGAATTTTTTTCCTTGTGTAAGATTTTTTCCAAGATTTTTTCCTTTGGAAGTATTGATTTTTGTAATCTTTTAGTTTTATACCAAGATTATTTACAAAAATAGCAAATTTGTGAAATTGAAAAATTAGTCAAAATGACACATATCTAGTCTTTCATTTTTACATTATGTGCATGTATCCTTACTTAAATGAGTTTTGAGTTTAAGTAGGAAAAAAAGGGTGTATTTATATCAAAATAAGTAATACTAATATTATAGCAATACAAATAATTCTGCAACTCTCATGTTAATATATATATTCAACATCAAAGGTGATAGTTAAAGTATATATGAATAGATGTAATTAATTAGCTTAGTAAATGTACGTTAAACGATCTTACAAATCCTACAGTGATAAAAGAATATGATATTTAATAGTAAAAAAATAATATTAACTTATTAATTTTACAAATAAATCAGACATCATATAAAATTTTGCAAGGTTGATATTTATTTACTTCTTTTCAATCAATGTATTAAGCATAATGTGAAATAATTGTTAAACATATCTTAATAAAAGAAACGAAATGGAAAATATCATACAAATTTGAGGAGATAGAAAACATAATTCATCAAGCTACATATAATAAGGTTTTATCTCAATCAAGATAACAAAAAATCACCAAATAATTTGTTGGATGCTTTTATAAACCTTCTGAATTTTTTGAACAATGCAATCAGATTTTTTTACAAGTAGATTTGAAGTCAAGTTTTAGATTATTTTTTTATTTGATGTTATTCATATTGAGTTCAAAATTATTGTTTATGAATTACAAAGTTTATATTGCAATATAATTGTTTATTTGAATATATAAATAATTTGGAAGTTTTTAAATAAATTTGATAACATTTTGAGAAGTTAAAAATGTAAAATAATTTTTTTTTAACATTTTTTGTATTTCTAGATTCCAAAAATTTTCTTAAGCTATAATATTGAAATTTTATAAATGATTTAGATGATTTTTTTTCTTTTCAATTAGAAAAGATCTATCATTTAAAACTGTACGTAAATATATAAAAAAATATTTTCTCAATAATCTTTCTTACAAAATTTGAAAGATTAATTAAACTTATTAACATGTAATTGTAGGGATGAAGAAATGAGTTGAGTCTAAGATGAAACAGAATACTAAAGATGAGAAATCTTAACAATAGTTATAATATTCATTGTATAGATGTTATCTACAAGTACATAAGATCTTAACAACTTCATATATTTCATTCATAGTGGATTAATTATATGGTTTATAATTCTAAAAAGCACACGGATTGTTGACACACTTGTCATTTTCAAGTAACACACATAATTTAAAAAAAAAACACATAAATTGTTCACTAGAAATTTTCTACTAACACACTTACTCTAATTACCAAGCACATGAATAGTTTACGTGACAATTGAAAAACAATGCACTTTAAGTTAACTATAATCTAATATTGAGAAAAAATTATTTTAAATCTAACTAACTAAAGATATATACACTACATTTTTGAAGAGTGTTTTACTCGTTTAAATTTGATTATTCTGATGTGTTTATTACAAGATTATGTGCATATAATATATGATATGATGAATTATATATTAAAATAATAATAATATACTTATAGATTTCATAAATAAAGAAATTTGAAGATGTGTGTGATTAAATATGTGAAATTTATGTGTGTTTTTTAATTGAAAATAAATTTTGATTATAGAGAGTATAAATCAATGAATATTTATTGCCGTTTTATATTTACATTTCCATTAAATTATCATAATCAAACATAAGTTTGAAGTTATTACAACATAAAATTATAATGCATAATAGACTTATAAAAAATTCAGTTAATGACTTGATTTTTGAAATGATTTTAAAACGATTTTTCATATATAATGTATTCGAATTTTAAAAATGTTGAAATCAATTTTCTAACAACATGCATCATTAAAAATCCGAGTTTGGAATGAAATTTGGTGGAAAATTAAATAAATTGATAATCTAAAAATTTTACAATAAATTTCTTGAGATTTAAATTCACATAAACAAACGTAAGTTAAACTTTGAATTTTGGTCACCTTTTTATACAAGTTTGACAACAATTAAAAAAGGGTAGCGAATTTGTGTAAAATTATAATTCTATGAGTTGAAATTTCTCATTGGAGTCTTATAGTGCGATGGATTATTTTTGTCTACGTTGTTCTTATTACTCTATGTGTAATTTATGGGTTTGCAAATGTATGATATTGTTCTCATTATTGATCCCGTCGGATCAGGTTCACACATGTAAGCTGTCATACAAGAATTGCAAAACTTTTGAAAGCTTATTTTTCACTTTATAAATACACTATTTTCTTGAATGAATAATAAATAATATAAAAATAAGAATAATATTATATTATCAAATTTTTATTTATTTTTTATTTATTTATTTTTCTATTCTTAAAATTGAAAAATGACTCATGATCCAAATCTAGCATGAAAAATGATTATATATGTATAAAAGAAAAGCTAAGGAATACATAAAATGTGAGTAAATTACACGTAGATGACAAACATGAGAAAGTAGTTTTTTCTCTAGTTTTAGAATATCTTATGTAAGTCTAGTGATTGCTAGGAGTGTCGACCGTTGAACTGTTGATTAACAATGTATAAGCAGATATGTGGCTGCGTATAGTGGGTGCACGTATTTGCACAAGTGTTCAACCACACTAGTTCTTGACTGAAATGCCCTTTATACAGTATAAGAGATTTGTCCAAAACTTGAACTTGGTAGCGTTAAAACTGAAATATTTTGCAAATTGCAGCGAAGTCACAATGCTATGAGGATATTTCGAAGCAAAACGGCCCTTCAATGCTTGGGTATATTAGTAATCGATTGTCTTCCTCGTGATATGAACAAGTAGAGGAGATAATCGCAACCATTCAGGTAGAGAATCTCTAGGCTCATGCTCTTCAATGCACGTAGGTTAATAATGGCAGACGGATCTATCCATGATTTATACACGCGGAGCAGATGACACAATATTATTTCCCTAGAGGATTGTATTTGGTGGTACACACGTTGCATACTATATTTCTGGACTTACAGTTAGTTAGAGAATTGGTTTAGATTGTTTGAGATTGATATAACAATAATTTAATGATTCGAGACAGTTCGACACACATTATAATTATATAGAATGTTTTGTTATTCGGCATGAGTTTGTGTACATTCCCCCGGAAGTCACATGAAGTCCATGGAATGAAAATTTACAGACTGGGATATAACTGCCTTCTCGGTTACTCTTATCCAACTAAGAGAAAGTGGAGTATTTCCTTACGCGCGTGGAGAGGATAATCTTGGCCAATAGCATTGACTTCACCTGGTGTCAATAAGGCTGCACCCGACCATTCACTCATAGAATTCAAAGTTTTCAAATTAGCAAGGAAAAGTGATAGTGGTAGTGCAAATTACAGACAGGAGACCCCACATGTGGACACAGCTCGTTATCCCAACAACTTCTGCTGGAGCTAGAAATTCACACCAGGACAAGACAGCCCAGATGCGCAGGAGCTACTAAATTTATCGAAACGCATCTCAGGCCCCGTTGAGTTTAACCGACGACTCAGACTAGCCGTGGAGGTCCCACCAGCCAACGGAAGCACACGAAAGCAAGAAGCTGCAGACGAGGCGCCGAATTTTTTGAACGTTTAACGGACTTATGATTCCGGAATCTCCCGGCTTTGATTCGCCTCACAGCTGGGCTGGCCCTCGAAAGAATACTCCTGCACATGATGGCTCGGTCCCTCGAGCGTAAAAGATGGGAGCCCCGACATCCTTTACTCTGTGTTACTCGCTTTCCCGGCTGGTAATTTCCGTGAACGAGAATGAAAACTATTCGTTGTGCTTATCACTTTGCGACCGCCGGATGACCGAATCGACGGCTCACAGTCGATGCGCGGGAGACGATCGTCCCGGCAGCTTACGACCCTCGAGCAACGGAGGGTCGAAAGCGGGAACCGCAGGGTGGAAATCGTAACGGTAGAGGGGACACGTGGAGAAAGAGAAGGGCGACCGAAAGATAGAAACCGCGGGGGGAATCTCGGGTCCCGGGTGCGGGATGAGTGAAGGGAGGCGTGGAGAAAGGGAAAAGGGGGAACGCAGTTAATGAAGCGGAGGGGAGGCGAGGACGCGGTGGGAGTGAGAGGAGCGAGTGCCGTTAGCGGAGACCACAGCGGAGATGGAGAAGACAGCGGAGCGCGCCTTTTCTGAATGCGAGCACGACGCACGTCCCCGTTTTAGCGCAAGCCCTACTCCGCCAGTGGCTAGCGCTAGCGGGCGGGGTCGGGGGCCGCGGGGGCCGAGGGCGGAGCGCGGGCGCGGAGCGGAGCAGAGGATTTGAGTTGTGTCCTGCTGGGGCTGCCATGGAGTGGGGGCATTCTCTCTCCTTCTCCAGTGTCTGCAGGTGGTGCCTGCTGCTGCCGTGACGCACGCATTGCGAGGCCAGGAGGACGAGGACGAGGACTGAGAGAGAGAGAGAGAGACTCTTTCTCCGCCCGCGGCCGAAGAACTTTCTTTGCCGTTGGTTGATGGCAGCGACGAGCAGCAGCAGCAGCAGAGCAGCAGCAGGATAGAAGACGACGGGCATACAGAGTCAGATAGACAGAGATAGAGATTTAGAAAGAAGACGAAGAAGAAGAAGAAGAGGACAGGCGGTGGAACGGAGGCCGAGAAGGTGGGAGAAGGCAAAGGGGGGGGAGGGCATTGCCGAGTTTCGTCGTCGCCTGCGCTCGAGCGGGGGTAGAAATTTGGCGAGACGAGGATCCGTGGGGGCCGCGAGCTTGGGTGGGTGGGGATGTCGTGTTAATGTAGGTAGGTCAGCCCGGTGTCGGATATGCGCTAGACTCGACTCCCATGTTCTGCCCTCCCGCTTCCGCCTTCCCTTCGTCCCCGGGTGGTAAATTTCATTTGACGACTCGGCAATTTATCCGCATTTGCTCGGCTCGGTCGGTAGTGGTGGCAGAGTCCGGTAGGCCCGTAGAGCATCGGGAATCTAGTCCTTCGGTCCAACTTTCGTCAAGGCGATACAGATCTGTGCCGATCCGCACAGAAGGAAGCGAGGAGTTCTAGAGGGGCACGCTGGGGTTAGAGAAGAATTCCGGGCGCTTTGTGCGCTTCGACGAAGTGCCATCGCCTTCTCGGCAGATGGCCTCCCAAGGTCCCGAGCTCAGTCCTACAGCGGCCAGCCTCGATGGCCAGCTTCAAGATTTGTTCCGCGCACTCTCGTATGTCCCTTCCCTTGTTTTCCCTTGTGTGTCAACGCAATGATGTCCGTGGTTGGTCTGTTCTGGCTTTGAGTGCATTGACTGCTAATGTCGGTAGTCGCTGCGAAACGTTCTCCGCATTGATTATTATTTAACCACTCGGCCTTCCTCTCGGCCAGTCCTACTTTCTCTTCAGCTCACGTGATTGAGCACCCTGTTCCGTGTGGATGGTTGCCCGCTCGTCTGAACGAAAGAAAGTTGTTGTTTCTAGTCAATTGGTTGCCACCTCTCATTCTGCAATACGAGTAACGCTCGAGTAATCCAAGAACTTGGGAACATATTTAGCCCTGTGAATCACCAATTAGCGACCTTATAGTTGTGCACGCCGATGTGAACTTGGTGCTCTTAACTTCTCAATCTGATAGTTCCCTCTCTCCCGCGCTTCTCATGATGGGGGGCAATCTATGGCATTCTCCTTTATTCTGTGTTTTCGTTCGACATTGCCTCTGGCAGTCAAGCTTTTCGTTGTCGATGTAAATGATCCACTTTTCCGCTCAATATCTTCCACGATACGCAGCGGAGGAGTCGATCCTTGGCATTGCCAACGTAGTCCGTCGCCTTTCTCTTGCTCCCGGGGACTGCTCTATGTCGTGGCCCAATTGACTTTCTATCTCAACTCTCGAGCGTAATTCGATCAGAGTCGGTACTTTTGGCCCGAGGTTTTTTTCTGATTGGCATGTCTATCCATTCTCATCTAGCTTAAGCCTGAGATCTTACTGATCAAAAGTATGGTATAACTATGGTTTCATAAATCCATTCTAACATTGTTCTTTATCTGTCTCGTTATGGCAAACAGGACTGGTTTTCAAAAATTGGACAAGGTTAAAGATGCCAACCGCCAAAGCAAGCAACTTGAGGAACTTACCGCGAAAATGCGGGAAGCGAAACGGTGTGTTCCACATTTCAACTTTCAGAGAGAATTTTAGCATTGTTTTTCAAATGTAGGGTAATCGGAGGCATTGCTTCCTGTTTATCGAATGAGGTTTGGATCTACAGATGACGATTTAGGCTTAACTGAGCTATGGGTGTGTACTGGGGAGAAGATTGGAGCTTTCTTCGTCGTTCTGACACCAGGAATGTAATTAGTTTTGTATCAATCCTCTTGGTGTAATTCGACCTTCAGCTAGTCAGCTGGGTGCCTGCAAACTGTGCTTGGCAGTTGGTCTACCCTTCCGTTCCACCTGGTTATATGAGTCGACATATCTGGTTTTGATTCCAATGCAGTTACCATCAATGCATTTGCTGATCACGTACCTTTTAAATGCCACGAAGGATAAGTCTCTGCAATTTATATCCTCTTGTCTTTCTGGCAGGCTTGAAGGTAGCCTCCGAAAATTTCTGCTAACGCTAGTGCTACAGTCGTCGATTCAGTCTCAATCGATCTTCCCCTTTTAACTGTGATCCCGAGGGAATCATTAGCATCCCAGGACTCGTGCGAGCCCAAAAGCTCTCCAGCTCTCTTGACATGCTTTGAGCGCCCCCAATTTTCTTCTTTTCAGATGATTCGTTTCTCTCGATTTTAAAGCGCCAAAGCCAGCGTATTCTTTCATGAATCCGGTTTACTCTTTGCTCGAAGGAAGGAGTCGACTACTTTGTTCTGGACCGTTCCTCTAATCTTTGACCTGAAGATTTCCCCTTTATTTCTACTAGACGAACACTGGCGCTTGCTAGCTCGCTGTGATTAGTCTTCTTCAGGGCTTTAGGGAGCAAATTTGCGAGGTTTTCTCATCGGAGTTTTTCCATTTGATGTGTTTTTCTAGACACCCTGCTCTATGCAGTAAAGGATTTCCCTAGCACACTCCCGTCCTTCCCTCGCAGTCCTATCAACTGTCAACCATTGTATCTCGTCTTTGTTTACTGGGCGTGAGGACTATTCGTAAATACTTATTCAGGCATTTTCACTCGAGCAAGGACGATTGCAAAACCTTCCCATCGCAGCTACTCTCTATGTGATAAAGAATTCAAATTGTTAGATGTTACTCGCTACTTATTCCAAAAATTATTGAGATCTACATAAGCCAACGATCGAAGTGACTTGTTAGGGGTTTGTCGACATTTTTTAAAAGTGTCGTTCTTTTGTTTGCAGACTCATTAAGGATTTCGATCGAGAGATCAAGGACGAAGAGTCACGAAACTCGCCAGAAGTCAACAAGCAGTTGAATGAGAAGAAGCAAGCTCTGGTGATTTTCGAATAAATGAAGATGTTTTCAGTGTTTCCCAATGGTTGTCTATATCACTAATTTAAATTGTGAGCTGCAATGGAATTGCAGCTCTCTATTGCTGTCTATCTATGTACTAAAGATCTTTTTCGGTCTCCTTGCAGATCAAAGAACTCAACTCCTATGTCGCTCTTCGCAAAACGTATGTTCGTCTTTACCAGAACCCTCGGTTGCGCTGAGGCCTGATTCAAACTCAACTTTCTTTTATGTGTCAATTTTTAGAGTTAACGATCTGACATGTTTTGCATCAACAGCTACACGAGCGCCCTTGGTGGAGGTAGAAACGAGCTTCTTGATGGAGGCAAAGGAGAGCCTTTGATTGATGACGGTGTGAAGTTGGCATCAAGTGAGTCCTCTTGTTTATCTTTACATGTACATCGTGATAATTCAAGTGCTTGTTAAATCTGCACGACCGAGTACTGAGTACCGGTCGATTTGAACACCGTATACTATTTTGAATTGCTGTAGTAGAGTAAAAGTTTGATACAATTTGGGCTGAATGCAGCAATGACGAATCAACAACTCATGGATACCGGAAGAAAGCAGATGGACGAAACAGACCAAACAATCGAACGGTCTAAGAAGGCAAGGCTGTAATTTTGATATATCACTGACCTAGCATATAACATGCCCCAGCATGTGGTTTGTGTTTGTCAGTTGGACGTGGTTAAACTTTCGTTCTTACGGCATCACGTTCTGATACAGGTTGTCCAAGATACCATCAATATTGGTGAACAAACTGCTTTGACACTGAAGGCTCAGGTAATTATGTCGGGAAATATTCGTTCCTCCCTAAAAAATTTGTTTCTTGTGACATACGTAGGATAACAGTCCTAACGCGAGGTTTGCAAGGACGTCGTCTGGTTTGGCAGGATGTGATGTCCAGATTGTATCATCATGTTTACAGCCTAGTATAACCTCTCAATGTTTCATCCATCCTTTCAGACAGAGCAAATGGGCAGAATTGTGAATGAATTGGACACCATCCAGTTTTCAATCAAGAAGGCCTCTCAACTGGTGAAAGAAATCGGTAGGCAGGTAAGATCTGCTTCTCATCTCCTTATCTGTTGACCTGCGCTTTTATCAATTCCAATTTCCTATGTAACCCAGCATGTTCGAGATGAATCCAGGTGGAAAATTTCTGTCAGTTTCCCGTCTTTCTTCTCTGTACTAACCATGCTGTTTATCGTTGGTGTACAGCTAGCCACAGATAAATGCATTATGTTCTTCCTCTTTTTGATTGTTTGTGGAGTAATTGCCATCATCATTGTTAAGGTAACAGGCTCATTCTCAGTTCCTTGATAGCGATATCTGGTAGTCTTTTTTAATAAACGCATTATTGTTGATTCCACTTTCCTTTCAAGGTCGCCATGAAACTGACTCCTATATAAGCGTACTCATTCTTATCTCAGTATTTTTTGGTCAGAAATTTGGCACCTTCCTCGCCCTTACTGAAGATAACTAAGATTATTTGATGATTTTTTCCAGGTTGTTAACCCAAAAAACAAGAATATTGTCGATATCCCTGGGCTGGCACCCCCGGCAAGTACTACTACCAACAGACGGCTCTTGCTCGCTTTGTTGGAGTCCTAGGTGGACAAAAGGAGTAAGGGCCTTGGTCCCTCTTGAACGATTCTTTGGAGGGCTCAAAAGCGTGAGCACGTGACGACTACACTCCAGGGCATCAGTTGATGATGGATGTTCTTGTATAGGCTAGGCTGGTCGCTTGCCACTTACCATCAGTGCCCTCACTAATTTCAATCTTGGATGGTGTCCATTATTCTTTGGGGTTTTACTGCCTTGTATTGTCATCCTTCTCCTAGTGAGATGGGGATAGCTTGGTGGTTTGGGTAAATTGGCTTTCTTGCAATTCCGATTCTCTTCAGCTCGAGAACGCCTTCTTCGAGAATCTCATTCCCCCTTGCCCAAACCCTTTGTATTAGTGCATAAAAGCCCGCTAGGTAGGTTTTAAAAATTTTAATGGAAACAACAGTTTCTGTGCATGTATGAAGGCGAAGTATTCTAGCAAACTATGCTTGAACTTCCTGGACTGGGCATGTAAGTCTCCTGAGCCTCGATGCCAGCCAGTCTCTTGGAACTCCGGGAAGGGTGATGGCCCCCCAGTTGGACCTGTTGACTTGTGCGACACCTTGAAGAGCTGATTTTGTATCTAGGTTTCTTCTTATATGCAGCTCCAGACTCTCTGCGCAGCAGCAGGAGTTGCCTGAAGGTATGATGCATAACTAGTTTGCTCTTTCCTCTAGAGCTTGCTTAGTGGCAGGCAGTTTTATCCAGATGGACAACTTGCGTCTGGTGTTGATTACTTCCAGGAGAGATCCAACAACAGGAGTACCACTTCGCGACCAATGTGGGGTGACTTCACATTTTTTATCTCAGTGACTCTGGGACATATATAGATAGGGACATGTGAGATTGTCTACCAAACAACATTGTTTCAGGATCAAGGTTTATATAAGTAGATTTGATTCATGTGGATTGTTTCAGTGTTAACGAAGTCGACCAGATTTGAAGTGAGTACTGGTGCAATGGATAGCTGCAACTGCGAAATTATGTCTTCTGAAAAGCTGTGATTCACAACTACTTGGAAGAGGCCAGTGCCGAGTTCTTTTCATGAGACTATCTCCAGTGCCGCAGTTCTTATGCATGCATCCCAATGAATGTGGTTGTCTGGAAGACTGACTAGACGTAGTTTCTCAGAAGGAGCGATGAGATCCGATGGCGCCTTTTGATTGGTGTGGTGCTCTCCCGAAAATACTCAATTTTCGGAGGTTGTGAGTATTGAGTATGTTTTGTAGTCCTCGTGATTTGGTGTTTATCTGGTAGATGCCTGAGGAACTGAATGGGAAGCCCCTAGTACAGTAGTGTGTGTTGCACGAAAACTCTATTTAAATCATGCACGAATCATTTCTCAAGACTCTGTTGTTGTCCTCAATTCCGTCGATCTGATCCTCTGCGTGCCACTTGAAATACACACTAGTCAGCTCGAAGAACATAATATAAAAAGACCTGAGGCTTGTGAGGCGGATCCCAGAAAGATCTGGAAGGTCCTTATGTTGCTCGTAATAGTGGTGTGTTCATATTCATGTACATGAGCTACTCATATTCAGCTCAGCCCCCAATCAGTTCGATTGGAGCCGTTTTAATTCTCCGCTCCTCGAACACAGGATTGTCAGAATCTGTACGAAGTATCCGTGCAAGGTAGGAGGCAAGAAAATGAGTAAGTTCGACGTGTGACTTGCACCTTAGTAATAATGAACACGAAAGTGGAACTCTCCGAGCCCTGTCCAATGATGTCACATTGCGATATAACTGTAACATCACCACAATCATAATATCTACTCATTGTTACTGTTCGTGTTCATGCCTCGCGGTAGATGGGTTGAGTGGTCTTAACTCCCTCCAGGCAACACCTACCGAATAAGAAGAGACTGCTTAACAAATGTGGGGAAAATGTACAGTACAAACTTCAAAGAGGGAAGTCTTTAGCGAGAGAAATATGATGAAAGCCATCTTTCATACACGTAGTATGAAATTTGAGGTGATTATTCCTAAGTAAAGATAAATAGACTAGAGGTTATGAAGTTTAATACACAATGTAGTGATCTCTACAAACTCACACGGAAAAGTTGAAGTGTATGGTTGAAACTTGAAGAACAGGAAATGGTGGATCTTCGTCTAACGAGAGGGCATTTCCCTGTACTAAGTGGCCTAAGAATGAAAGTGCCTACATGAATCTAAAACTTACGTAGATTACTTCTACTGAAAGCAAAGCAAGAAATCTCCTCAGACATGTCCACAACTCACAGACTCATGGGTTCTCAACATCTTAGGGGCACCAGAAATAAAAGAAAAGAGATGAGTATACCCTTGTCAATATATCACAATGCATAGGTATAGTATCACAACGCAGAGTTGCTATATTATGATACATGTATTAAATATGTAATTCTATACTCTAAAATCAAATTTCATAATATTCAAACCATTTTACATCAACACAGGTGCATCACAATTTGCCCTACTATAAGTGTTTAGATACCTGTATCACATATAGCCATCTAGTGATATGAATATCATGTGCTAAGGAGGCGGATGATATAATGACACATAGTTAGTAATCTATGGAAGATCCATATCATGCAAGAGTCACACCATCCTGTATGCTAATCGCATCGAGTATATCTATACTGTTCACTGATTATGTATACATCAAATTTGACATGAACATACTTTTTAAGTCAGAATCACAAAATCAACCTGCTGACACCTCCACCAACTAATCTTCATCTTGGACATAGCTTTTCCAAATCTTAAAACCATATAGCCAAGAGTATGACATGAAAAACAATTATGTAGATGATGATTACAAATCACCGCATCATGAGTATTGGTATCACAATACCAATACTCTAGATGGTAAAATCTAGTGTTGATGGTGAATATGGTCGATGCATTCTAACGCTACTACACATAATCATCAACATAAAATCTTCATATTAAAGATTAACATCTCAACTTAAATGATAGTATAGAAGAAGATATTCCTATGCAAAAAATATATCCAAACTCTCTTATGTCATGGATATTACTCCATACATATCTAGAAATAAGTTTGAACTTCTAGCATATAGTGAAAACATGGTGAAAAAAAAAAACAAAGAAGTTTAAAAATGATATGAAACTGATGATGATGATCAATCCCAGTCGTTGCTTGTACTTCAAGAAAAAAATTTGTTTATAAAATTTTACAGTGGTGGCACTTAGTCAATTGTTGGACATGAGATATAGACTTATTTCCATATGACTTGGATTATGTTTACATACGGATCTGACAAATGCTTTCAATAAAGTCTATTATGCATCTGCACTAATTTGATTAGAATCTGAGATAAACACTTGGTTAAAACTTATTTTTTCCCTCATATATTTGTCATATCTTCTTCAATCAATTATGATATTTCACACGAAACAATATCAATCAACAGTCATCCACAAAAACTGCACAAATTTTTTTCCATATATCAAAATTGATATTTTTGTGTTACTTTTGTAATATGAGAACGTTTTTTTTCGAATAAATTTCATTGAATATATTTACATGGAATTTTTTTTTTATTAGGATTGAAGTGAGATTCTTGAATTGTTGTTGATGATATCTTTTCTATTTTTTTTTCTCAATATTTGGTTTCTTAAAAGACGTATGATATAGATGGATAAATAATAATTTGTTAGAACATATCTTAAGCTATTCTTATCTATTTGAAAATTTTTAGAATAAAAGTTTAATTTATAATTTTTCTAGTTCAAATATATATCATGTAAATGAATTTCATTTAGAAGTAGTCATACATTTGCCATTTATAAAAATTCAAAATGTTTTTTATCCACGTTTTTTTTTTGTCAAAACATTGGACTAAGATGTACAATAAAAAATATAATTAAAAATGATATAGGTTTCATTTATCTTCTTTTTGTAAGCGGTTCTTTCTTATACCAATGTGATTGATTTGTATTTTTGAACATGCATCCTACATGTTCATGCGCGAATGTGCTTGACTTTGTACTCAACCATGCATTCCGACTCTGTGACTTCCAAAAATCATGTGCTCTACATTATCTACAACGAGAAAAGTTTTTCCTAGTTTTGTTCAACTATTGGATCGTCAACATTTTCATAAGTTTTATAGTAAATCAAATGAAGCAGTGTTCACTTTAAGGTCAAGGACAACCATCAGTATATGATATAAACAAAGCAATATAAAGTATCCAAAGAGTTAAATTTTTTTGTAGTCTACTTAGTATCTTTACTTCTTAATCTGAAAGTTATAGAATTTAATTGGGGATAGTATTCTGTGAAACTAAAACATGACTCTATATCATAATTTTACAATATAGATGGTGCTGGGAAAAATATAACGATTAGTTTAGATGATGACTTTGAATATGCTCTTTGTGTGAACATACACCTATGTAATTACCATCCCTTAGCTGTAATAGTAAACATTTTACATGAGGGGGCTGACCTCCATTCTACGCTCTTGGTTTCATCCATGTCCTACTCGATGGGGTCTTCCATTACCTTTTGACATCTTATATTAATTGTATGGATTAAAAATTTGCATTGCGAGATTGGATACGGACTCCCAAGATTCCAGCTGATCACCATGTTTGACTTAGCTTGACGCCAAGGAGGAGCTCCAGAGAGCACTGGCGTCTGCGCAAAGTCACCGATACTTTGTTAATGTACCGCAGAGTTGAAAACTCGAGTGTTCCGACTGTCAGGGCCCGGCCACGAATATCACAACGGTTTCCTTCTGAACGAGAAGGTTCAGTTCAATGGGAGTTCAGTTCAATGGGAATTCAGTGCGCCAGCCTGAGAAGAGTACTGTATTGTACTGGACTCACTGTCCAGAACAATACAAGAAGGGAATGTTCTAACCTTCAAGATTTGGCCCTCCTCGGCAGTTTAATCCGATACAGTGTTGATGAAGCATGGCTGAACCAAGGAGAAGTCACCAATCAAGCTCCAGAAGAGAAAAGTGCGACTGAGGAGTGAAGTCTCGGAGTTACTGTGAAGTGGTGTCTCTGTAAAACTGCCAAATTCATCTTCATCATTCATGTAGTCAAGTGCCTTCAGAGTTTTAGAGAGTCCGGCTAAATAATAAAGAGAGTTCTGACATTTTGTTTAGATTTTTTGTTTAATATTCACGGTCTCATTTTGTAGTCAGAGAAATATGATGTTCTCCCCACCATAGGAAGGGGAAATCCGCTTATAATGTAATATATGTATTATTTGCAGCGATCGGTTAGAAAGGCTGCGGTCGGTGTAAAGAGGTAGTAGAGAGTTAGAGACGTCTCAGAGGGAAAGTACATGCACTTGCAAGGGTGCGCAACAATTAAAAGAAGAAGTCGATTACTCGTAGAGAGAATATATGCTTCTCATGATGGAATGAAGGTGTGTGATGACTAACATGTCTGAATAAGAAACATCTGTCAATGCAAAGAAATATCGTGAGGGATAAAGCTTGGCTTTTCAACGACAGTCCTCATCAACACCATTGACCAGTTCCGTTCCATACATCGGTCCATTACCTGATTATAACAATATATACTATCAACAAGAACACATTATGTTCTAATTCCTATATCAGATTTGGGTCGAAGGTTAGGGTCGCTGTCGATCTCCAGTTCTACAGGGAGAAAGCCTGTCCTCCACTTAGTTGAGAGGGAGCAGTAGAGCATTATCAACTTTTGCAGGTCACTCAGGAGCAAGATGACTCGTGGCTTGAACGATTGTAACGGTGTCTGCCGGAGGACCGTGCACCCAAGCACCGGTTTAATCGCTGAAAGAAATGGTGCTCAAGCATCCGTGGCTATCAGCAGTCGATCTACGAAGAAAATCCCCAGGACAAGGCGTATCTCCAGAATTTCAGCTAAGAAGCCATGATGCAACCGATTACGATCGTTCTCAATCTTCTGTTACGGACATGCACGTCATTTATTCTTGTCCTGGTTTAAGCACTCAAATCTGGCTGAACGCGAAGAATTCTGCCCACGAGAAGCTACCCTCATCGCGATGTCACCAACTCAGTCCTCTTCAGCTACATGCCGTGGCCGATAGTAGAATTAATTAAAACTCGCGTACAATACAGATTCGTACACGCCACTGTGCGCAAGGTCAACATATATTTGACATATGCTACAGCAGTTGCAGCGCAGCCATGCCCGAGTTCCACAGAAGCAATGCCGCTGGCGGGTCCTCTCTCAAAAGTGAGTGATTTATCTGAAGTATTATGGTTCCAGTGCTGCCACTGGATAAGAAACAATCGACGTGGGCAGAGGCGACTAGTCACACCAGTTGGACTTACGCCCAGCAGAAAGTCTTTCTGGTGATTGTCCAGGTCCTGCGTAATATCTGAGAACTAGTCTCGGGTACGACCACATTAATGAGCATGGAGTAAATCCATGTCTCCTTGGGGGGAGGGGAAGGGAGGGGAAGGGAGGATGTCAGCCTGGAATCATGAGATGTCACAGAAGGCAACATGCTCTCGAACCAGTGCAGCTCATGAACAAACAAAAACAGATTTCTATGGAATTCCTAGTACAGAACAGACCACGCTGCTCGCCGTCGCGAGTGCTGGACCGCATACACTCCGGATTCCCGGCCTTTCCACCGGATCGTGTACAATGCTGCCACCGTCTCCTCCAATACGTCGAGTCTTCTCCTGGGCCACATCTTTTCGGCAAAGCCGCCGGACGCGAAAACTGTGCAGCTCTGGAATCTGGTTCCCCTCCCTGCGCTTCTAGAAGTACATGCTGCCATGATTGTTCTCCGACTGTACCTGGATTGAAGACGTAACCCGTCGAGGATGGGGAGGAGGGGGAGGGGGTGTGTGAGAAGTGTTTCTTCGGATTGAGAAGCTTAGTGCCATGTTGCTGGACTCGACTGTGCGTGTGCACTTTGGTTTGACTCCATTCTCTGGGCATGTGCTTAACAAGGTCAAGCTTCTGACAGCATGACCCAAGTCATGCTGTCAGAAGAGAGACCTATAAGATGGAGTCCAGGTCTGGGATCAGAAAGTCTTCCAGCTGCAAGTGGCTATCATCGTTGCCCTCTCTGCAGATTGAGGAGTTCTCTTGAGAGGGGGTGTGGATGGACTTCTATTTGTATGATCCTCTCCTTTCAAATGTCTGCAGAAGAGCAGCCGAAGAGGTGTTCTGTGAACAGGTTTGAAGACTTTCGGTGGAAGTCCACTTTTTCCTCACCGTCATTAGCTGTGAGCATTGAGAACGCATCAAATTCGAATAGCAGTCATGAACTAGTCAACATTTCCGTATAGACCACAAGAGGAGGTGGACGGCAATCGAGATTCCTTGGGGTCTCGAGTCGAGTATGTCCCATAAGATTGTACTCATCATATCCAGACCGACCACATCTCTACTGGGACCGGAAGCGGGTGGCTTTCGGTTGCGAATTCATGAGGTGGGAATCATTGTACTCGACACAGCATCTAATCCCTCAGTACGTTGGCCAGCAAGAGAGCTTTTGAACTCGGAATCCACCACGCGGAATCCTTAGTACAAACAGCTGAGACGGTTACATACTTCGCCGTACGAAGCTGCCCAATTTCTTACTCCACTCGACAGTGCACCACTTTTCCTTACTCCGATTGCAGGGTATATAAAACTGGCCACTCCAACAGATATGGCAATATATCTCGGTTTTCGCTTCCCATGCCACTGCAGGCAGCGCAAGCTGTGGCCTCTTATTTCAACTTGAGAAATATGGGACTCAGAGAGATGGGCTTTAGCGAGTGCCGAAACTCACAACACTTAGCACGTGCTGTCAACAACGCTCGCATGATCGATAAAGGAGGACGGATGGTGATTTCGCCACTTGCTATGGCTCAAAGTGCACCTTATGCTCGTCCCTCTCACCGCAGCAGACAGCTCATGTTGTGGCCTCTCGGTTCTGCGTCGAAGAAGAGGATGGAGCTTGTGCCGACTATCCCAACACTGGGCCCTCGCTGTGCAAGGCTTCTGACTCGCCAATGGTTTGAAACAAACATCTTACGATCTGGACGAGAGGGCAGAAAATTGAACTTGCCTCTGGCTGGTGCTTAGTGAGAGACAGAGAGATCGATCACGTCACGGAGCACGTCAAGGAGTTTGAGCAATTTTATCTTCAGAGGAGTGTTTAGAGTCTTTCATCAACAGGTGGAATCTGGCAGGGATGGATGTATTGTGAAGCGTACACATCTTCTGATCTGGTTCCACCCAGTCGATGCGGGACCCTAAGGACTCCTCGATAGCCTCCCAATATGATGGAACTGCAGTCGTGAGTGAGCACGAGGACGGGAATCTGCAAAGTAAATTGGTCTGCACATACTTCCTCTCTTCGCCGTCAACAAAATGCAGTCTCTGCGTCCAAGATTTTTGCAGATGCTCGAAATGTGCGTTTTGGTAAGATTTTCTGACTTTGATCTTCGATGGGATGTCTCAATCAAGACATTAACAGATAGAGAGATCGTGGCAAGCTACTTCGTCCCAGTCGTGGAAACATGTGACAAGCGTTGCATCAGATTCTATGACAAGCACAGACGTGACAACACAATGAGAACATTCTCGTTTCTCATTACTTTGGTCAAGCGTGCAAGAGACAATCGTGGATGGTCCCATTCATAAAACTCAGCTCGTCGTAGGCTTGAACATTATCGGACGACGCCTCACGTCAGATTGAATGTCCCAAGATTATCAGGTTCCATCACTTGAGCAATGTTGCGTCTGATTAGTTCCATCGGTCAAACTTCAGCTCAGTGCGCGTGTTCACACAACCTCAATAACAACTGATCACCACCGTATTTCCAGATAAGTTTGAGCTTATGCATGCACCTGCTTAAGAGCGAGACTGCACCATTGTTAGGTAGTGGCACTAGGTAAGAGGGAATCAACAAGCGAGGTCGAGGCATTAACGGCGAGTCAAACGATGATTACAGTCTTCATCCTGCTTCATGTAGAAATAGGAGTAGAAGTCTCGGGAATTGTGTGATCTCTTAGCCATTAAGTAATGTATCACCTGGAAGACGGAGTTGGTATATAAATATATACATCGTAACTATGTAAATACACAATATCTAGAGGCCTTAAACATTCTCACTTACCAAGGTGTCATAATAGGCGGTTACCATAATTCTTACCAGCTGAATCCAACTTGGTCCTTCGAAATCGGTTCAGTATCAAAACCCACACTTCTGATACATCAAGCAAGGGTTTCAATTAGTCAGCGAGACTGGCACGTGCACTCCGAAGAAGCGGACTGGGAAGTGCTCACATACTGGCTTATCCACCCAAATGGTAAGGAATATTTGGCTCATCTGAATGCTATAAAATATCAATACGAGACAGATGTGTTCTCTAAACTCCTCTCGTGTATCGACGCAGAAAGTTTTTGAGCACGATTTGCGCATGTGAGTTCATGCGCAAAGTGGGCGAAGGTCGATAGTTGTTTACAGATTCACGGCGTTTACGAACGTACTGTGAGGAACATATCCAGGGAGTTCACACAGAAGATGTTTTTCCTAGTAGACGGCAAACTCAAGTAAGATTTCTTCCAATTCCGAAGTTGCAGCAGCATTAGCATTCAGCGGATGCTAGCTGTCCCGTCCTTTTCTTCCAGACTATGCAGTCCAAGTGATACCGAAGACAACAGAAAAGAGATGGCATATTTACTATCCACAGATGAAACACCTTCGTCTTCCATGAGCGATTCAGATCTCAGGTTTCTGGTGAGACCAACCTGCTCTGTTAGCTGTCACATTCTTGGCGATTTATATTCTTCCCGGATTATCTGTACCACGCAGAATATCATCTCATGGCTACACTGGTGTGTGCATCCAGCTAAACCGTTGACATTCCTTCCAGGCTGAGCTCGTCCATTTTGCTTGATTGGAATCTCAACATGAGAAGAATTTGGCGTCAGATCTGTATGGTGACTCGGAGTTTAACGTCACCTCAGTAGCCATAGCCGGCCTGCGACAACGGGTTGTGATAGGCATGCACATCTTCTATTCCTCTAGAGAAGCCGATAGGTTATACAACATGCTACAGAAAGTTGTATGATTTCACACTCGACTTCACGTCAAGAAGTTGAATAAAAATCTTATACGTGCACGTACTTTTATCGTGCCTACTTAATACTGCTGTAGAGTTTGTTGATGTGTTTACAGGCAAGTCCTCTGGTAGCTTGAAATATCTATCTTGAGATCCTTCAACCTTGGCCGCAAATGTGCGTCAAAATGCACTTCCTTACGAAGGTACCTGTCGAAGACGATTTCTTTTCTTTTATTATCGAATTTAATATGTATATTAATATGTAATTTAATATGATAGAATTTGAAGAAGTGGGCATACAGCAATATTGCAGAAAGCAGGGGAAGAACAAATCTACTCTTACGTCGATACCCAGCAAACGGGTAACATGGGGCTAGGGCCCAAAAGTATTTGCTCCACGACACTCGGGACTTATATATTGCTTTGCACGGAATGATGCTTCATTTGAATTCATCTCGAGGTCAGCTGGATGCGTTCAGAGTTAGTGAATATACAAGCCTCACAAACTAGTATTGGGAACATTTAGTCATGAGTAGGAAATACTCCTGACCCAAAAAACAACAATAAACTTCTACATTTGAAAATAACATCGTCAAATGTATGTGCCAAATTATTTAAAGCATGTCGAATTTGCAAAGTTTTTCTTATACATTTGGAAAGTTCTATAGACAAGGTGGATATAAATTTTTCATGCAGATTGCTAGTCGCAGCTAAGATCATGTAGAATAGTTAAATATTTTTTATAATTTTATCTTCAGTCAATTTTTTTTCAATGTGAGCTTGAAAGCATGATGATTATTTATGCTGTATATCGCAACAATATGATGGTTTTTTATGTGCATTCAAAAACTACTCACTCTATGCGTATCGTTTTATACATATAGTTTACTTACAAGAAATATGTATAAGCACTCAATCTTAATGTGATACGACAATTGTGGATAATATGCATAGTGTGATCAGCCTTAAACCCTCTCAGGCTCTGAAGCATAATACTAATGTACTTTCGATTCGAGATGACAGAGTAACGAATTTTCACGAGTCTGATTGCGTCAGGCAGTATATAGTAGAAGTCAAGCGAAAATTCTTCTTGTACGTTTCATATCATTGCCACAAGTTAAGCAGCTAGACTATCTGCATGATATATTATATCGTACATTATCTCAACGGCAACGAAATCTGGCTCATTGTGAATTGATTCTCAAATTTGAGAAAAGTATGGGGATTCAGATTCGATCGTCGCTTTCAGTATCCTCGGCTTCTAGTTGCGGCGTCATCCACCAGCATCAGACCAGATCGTTGTTTACCGACTCGGAATTCATGACCACCAGTTCCAGCGGTTGGTCTCGTTAAGGCCAGGAATGGCCATCACGGAAAGAAGAACTTCTGGAGTATGTTTTAGTTGATTGTTCAGCGAGGAAAACAGCTGGCAAGGAACTGGGGCTTCACAAGTTCAGGGCAAGCAAGCGATTGTAGGTCTTTCAGAATCTCCTAAGCCCTCGAAAGCTGGAAACAGAGTCTGAGTGAGGGTTTTGGAATGAGAAACATAAAACAAGTATTTCAGACACATGATGGATGAATCGTTGAAGTCCAGTGAGGGAAACCACGAAGGTCTCCCACTTTCTACTTACTCTTGTCTTTTCTTACGAGAAAAGACGAGGGTTCATCCGCAGACTCGGCGGCAAGAGATGACCACCTAAGTACCTTCAAGACAAGCTAAAATCGACCGGAAATTATCGAGGAAGCTATTCAGCAGATTCAAAACCCCTTGAATCGATCGAGAGTGGAGAAGCCGACACACGATTGGACGAGGTGCTCGCGTTGGAGTGTTTCGAAAACCTGACATCCCCTGTGGGATTCGATGGGTCAACCACTGCATGAAGTCTTGCAAACCTGCCCTTGTTCCGAGCAGGAGCGATGAGGTGGTGTCGAGTTGCTGTCTGGAATCAAAAGACTCTGGATATGTGCGCTGTGTTGGACAGCCTTCCAAGTCAGTCCAACACAGCGCACATACACTTTCACCAATTTCATACAACGAAGTTCACCTCTCCAGGGGCTCGGCGTGACTGTGGCGCTCGGGAACAAGCAGTTCGGCGTGATGCAAGTCTTTCTTTTGGATGCACATGCAATTATAAAATCGAGATGGATATGCCGTCCACTTGAGGACAAGGTAAAGGTGAAGGAACTACTGGCAGAAAGTCCCAGCCGGTGGCAGAAGACAAGAGAGGAAGAGGAACTGGAACTCTTACATTATGTCACCAATCTTGACTTTAATCTTGTATCTGAATGAATGCTTTTTTCTTATATTTTTTTTATTCTGTTAATCGGACAACAGTATGTGGATACACCATCATTAATATCCCAAGAGAATATTTTGGGCTAGCCACCGATAGTACCTCACAGTATTAGAATATCTTCGTCAAAGTTCTATGTACTTCAATATCGACTATATGTAATTCAGAATAATCAAGTATTTTTTTTGTAATTTTGGTATTATTTAATACCACCATAAACTTGTGTTTCACGCATAGAATTTTACAGAAGCTTTTATTTTATTGATCTATAATAATAATATCTATCTTTTTCAATTAGGTGGATTCAAAATCACCCAAGAACAAAAACTATGATCTCAAATGTGAATGATATATATATATATATATATACATACATACATACGCATACAGTGTAATAATTTTCTATAGTTATAATGATATATTGTCTTATAGTATTAAAATTTAAAATATAATGATGAAACATTTGTCTATGTACCTTTTGGAATTATCAAACCCTGAAAAACTAAGAACTTTGAGTAAATTTTCAATAAAATAGTATGAATGAGTTGAATGATTATTTTTCCTCTTCAATGAATAAAAAATAGTTTCATGAAAGATATGGAAATTGTTGTGTAAAGATTTCTAATTATGCTTACTTATTTGGGTTGTATTTTCAAATTTTCTTTTCATATTCTTGTTTGATTAATCAAAATATGCGTTTATACAACTGAATTTTAAGATAAATTTATACGCTTATATTAGGAATCAACTAATGATTTCATTGCTATCATTGAAAACTTTGTTCATTTTTGATATTTAGCTGAATTTTATAGTCATGAATATGAAATTTGAAATCATAGATTTATAAATGTTTTAAATAAAGAAGATGTAGATCACACGATTGATATATATCGAATCATCCCAACATGCATTTCATATTATATTTATGATTATTTTATTAGACAAGTAAAAAAATATGCAAAGCTCAAAAGATTTAATGCAATTGACTACAATTGAACACATCATCCTTTATAGCCCCAATATATCTTAAACCTCATCTTTGTTATTCACGAAGATGAAGGTTTAAGATGTGAGTTGATTATTGTGAATAAATAATAGATCAGTAAAATTTTATATCAATAACCTGCAATAGCTTACACTTTTGATCCAATTCAAGCAACAAATTATTTCATAAAATTTTTTTTGAAGCTAAAATGCAATTAGATTTGGATCTTTATGGAGAATACACACAAGACATAGTTTATATATCACAATTGTATAAATTGTTTTTAAAGAAGTCATGCTATGAATAAGAGGAAGGAATATAGTAAAAAAATACATTCCATCATCTATAGTTTTCACATGCAAACGCAAATCATATGAAATCTCCTTACACATGAAAAAAAAGAAGTTATAAAATTTTTTAGACCTGTAGATATATTAAAAGCAAAAAAATCTATAGAATTAGTAAGTTTTTGATACTCATTATTCTCCTCTTTCAGATATTTCTTCCAAAGTATTCAATATAATTATCAATGAACTAAAATAAAACTCAACGAGGTTTGTCTATTCTCTATCTGTTCAAAATTCAGGCAAAATACATCCTCATGTGGGAAATCAGTAATTAAAATAATTACGGATTTCCCAATCTACCTTTCCACTTTTCTAATCATTAATTGGAGTAACCGAAATGACACATTGTTATAAGGGACAATGAGAGGATAACTTCAAACACCCCTGAATCATGAGATCTTACTCTAAATAGCGGACACTACACCTCATATCCTAGATTAACTCCTCGTAATCTATATTAACGCGAGTTATAAAACAAGGTAGTAAAACATACAATGATAATTGGTCTTCATATCTGATGTTTTGAAGTTTATAGGCATTCTAAATAAGATATCGAATAAACTCGGTTCGTGAATGTCTTGGAGATATCTACACTCAGACTTAGAAGGATTTCGATGGCATGTTTGACAAGGTTGAGTATGTATGTCAGTGGGCGTTATGTTGTAATGCATCTTGAGTTCTATGCTGAAGAGAAAGATTGTATCGATAATGCTAGTTTTGGACCTCCTAATACCTTACATATTACAACTTTGCATGTAGGCACATTAAAGGCGGAAATGGTGACAATATGGTTATCGAGCAGATTTTCTCTTCATGGTTTTATCTGAACTCTGTGAGTCTTTGCTTTCTTCTCTTATTGTGAGATATCACGGTTTTCATCCCATGCTTCGACCTGAACCCCCACTTCTCGAAATGATTAGACAATAAGTATGCCTCCTAGAACAGAAGAATATCCTCGGACCTTGGACTACCGATGTGCTGGGCATAGATGGTCCCCGCCTTTGGCTGTTACTGTACCAGCATCTGCTCATTTGTTTGCTGTAGTTTTGAAAGCATTTTAGTTGAGACGCATTTTCCAAGAAGCCACGAAATGTAGTCAATCGGTCAAGATCTTGGAGTCCTTGGAGCAACGACACCTGTTGTTGCTCTAACTTCATAACTCGCCACTAACCCTATACGGCAATACCGGATATTAAATTATCTTCCGTGATCCTGAAAATCTCTCAGATTTACAATATATATATATATATATATACCTGTAACAGTTTTTATCACTACTTCTAGAATAGTATTTATTTGTGGACCTGATGAGTTGAGCCGAATGGAGAGAGTTGGGTTGAAGGAACTGCCGTCCAATAATTTATGGTTATACATTTATTTTCAGTTTTTTTTGTCTGCCTGTAACCAGCCCTACGCGCGAGACGTTACGGTCCAGTAAATCGTCAATATTGAAAACCCCCAAGAAGTTTATTCAGATAAAATTTACATGGAGTTGTAGATATATACTTGGATATGGTACTCAGGTTAGACTTCTAATCTGACAGATTATTGAAGAAACACACGGTATCAAGGGTTATCATTAAATTTGATATTTTAAAAATATTTTGAATAAAGTGTTTACCTTGCTCTATAAATACCACATCAAGCGATATATCTTCAGAATATTTGTTTAAAATAAATAACTGAGTGAAAAATTATAATTTGCCGTTGGTCAGCCACATTGCTTCATGGTCTATTCCCATCATTTGCGTTGCTTGGTGCCCAATTTCTGTCTAAGCTTCCATGATATAGTGCAAACCAGGGAGGTTACGCAGTTACTGACATGATTCCTTCGACAAGAGTCGACGAAGCTTGGAACAATCGGAAGAAAGCTACCATGATTCGGAGAGACGACACACTATCCACAATGTTCTGGTTCAATCGTTGACGGATCTCTCCCAACTCGCTGAAGGTTGGTGAGAGAGTAGAGAGGAGTTGGGGGCATTGGGTTCTCAACCTTTTCCTCACCTCGATGGACGGGCGCTGTGGTCGGTAGGGCCAGGGCGAATGTGCGAATTGGATGAAGAAGAAATTGTGCCTCTTTTGGCAGGGCCTTCTGAGTTCTTGCGGCCGAGCGAGCGACGGTCGCACGTGGACCAGTGGCAGGGGAGGCTTCGAGGCGGACCAACTTTTACTTCTCTTGGCTTCGAAGCAAGCTCGCTGAAGTTGTCGACATGATTGCCAGCAGCATCGGTAGAGCGAATGGCATGCCCGCGATGCGGCGCGTAGGCCTACAGACGCTCGCGCGGGAGTCAGATGCTTCCCCGAACTCTGCGGTAACAATGCCACCGTTGCTAATCCCGATGCGAAGCTAGGCCTCTCCTGAAGACGGGCGATCTGGAGTCACTCCCGCTTTGGCCTGAATCGTATACAGGAATGGGATGGAGAGCTTCAGGACCAGCTAGCTGTTCTTTCGCGCCTCGATCACGCGTTCACGGATGCTGCAATGGAGGCGTTGATTCATTTGCGCGGATGTGAATTTCGGAGAGGTTCGATTCAGACTCTTCTGGACTATGCCAAATTTGAGAAAGAGTGCAGACCTAGACGACGGCTAGAGAGTGGAAGCACATGTACGAGTTCTGGCAGGTGGTGATGCTGCTTACTCTAGCTCGGCGACGGGCAAGCAAGGGCTTCAGTGCGAGCGATTAATTTCGTGGCAGGTCAATTCCCAAGATGTGGTCGTTGTTGAAGCTGAAGAAGAAGGGCCGAAAACCCGCAGAGGCAGTGAATTATCCTAAGGACTGGCCAAGCCCTGCGAAACCTGAGCCGGCGTATCCAATCAAGGTGAGGAGCGTGAAATTGCCAGGCCTCGTTGATTTGCCGGAGGAATTGGTGGTGCATTCTCGCTGTGCTTTTGGTTTGAAGCCGATTGCGATACATTCCGGGCTAACATGGTGTCATGGGAACCTTGCTTGCTCTGTCCCGCATTCTGTTTTTTGCAGGTGAATGAATCCGTGTTCGAGCTGTACGCACCGGTAGGCCAAGCGCAGCTGGACATCGTCTTCTTCCACGGTCTGCAGATCGGCACTTACAAGACTGCCTTCGTGGAGACTTGGCAATCGGGTTCTCATTGTTGGCCGAGGACATGGCTTCCGGTGGATTTTCCTAACGCGCGAATCCTGTCGATCTCGTATGATTCGAGTGCGAGGAGGAGTAAAGTTGAGGGGAGGGTCGATTTAAAGCAGTTGGGTGAGATTCTCCTGGAAGATGTCATTTGTTCGGCTGCTGTCGGTGAAAAGTGCCCGGTCATTATGGTCGGGCACAGCCTCGGGGGAATCGTCATCAAGCAGCTGTGTCTGGAAGCCGAGAGGAATATGAACACCCATGTCCACCGCAATAAGTACGTGAAGAAGTTTCTGAAACACTTGAAGGGCATTTTCTACTTTTCTGTTCCTCATGGAGGTTCGCAGCTGGCAAACCTGGCCAAGAATTACATTCCAAGTCCTGGAGCCATGCTGGACTACCTGACAGTGCTGAGCACACACACTGAGGAAATCAATGAGGCGTTTGTCAAGCTGCGCAAGGCACACAAATGGAGAGCAATGGCCGTCTCAGAGAATGTCATCACACGAATCGTGAGTGTGCCTTTTCTGTCACCGACCATCAGTTTGGTGCATATGCGTAGCAACTTTTAAATCCGTAATCGTACATTCTTTGCCTAACATGTGAAGACGTGGTTGTATCAGGGCCCTTTCCGAGCAATTGTGGTGACACAGGAATCAGCCAGCCGGGATGTGGACGAATTCATTCTTCTCGAGGAGGATCACGTTTCTATCTGCAAACCGAAAAGCCCAGACTCGCCCAGTTACGTGCACTTCAAAAACTTCGTAATTACAGTTATTTATTGACACTCAATCGGTCGAGATGCAGCCTTGAACCTGGTGGGAGTCATACGAGATGAATACCGGACATGTAAATATGAGATTTCTATATTGAAATCATGAAAATCATGAAGCATCGAAAACTGGTCAATAGGTTAAGGGTATTCTAGTGTCCTCTTACACCTTGTTTTCCATTCCTCCATTATTATCTGTCATACCAACTAGGATCAACTTGCGGCTAATCCCGCGATTTCGAGGTATCTTCAGGTGATCTGTCAAAAGTGAAGATCAACTTTCCTCTGATGCAAGCGTAGTGTCATCGATCAGGGAAAAGATTAAATGGACCCACTCTGTTTTCGGCACCACGTAAATACAACAACAGAAACTATTTCGCGACGAAGAGACGAGTTTGTGCTCGGACATGTGTTTGCGTAGGTGCACATCCGGTTGAAAGAGATGGCACCAGTGCTTTAGTTACCCTCTCCTGTGCTTCCAGGGAAGAACCCTGTCGTTGATATTCCTGTTGTGCATACATTCGTACGACGGCTGTTAAGTAACTACTAAAGTAAAAGGAAGGAGACAGTTTGGTGATCTTCGCCCGGTTTTAGTCCCACAATTTTTGGTCTTGGGCATGCGCCATTGTACTTTCGTCACTACTCAGTAGACAATTCAGTCACACGACTACTCAACAATAGCAAAAAAGCGCCGGTCAAACGAAAACAAACATTTCTATCAGTTCCGTATATCTGAACGTCGAATCTTATCGTTAAGACTCCATCAGTCTTAGAACATCAGAGAACTCTGTAGTTGTCTAACGATTTTCTGCAAGCGAGCGGGGAAGCGTTAATTGGCTACGTACTCGTACTGGGCAAAAAGGTTTGGGCTGACACTGAGCGGTGACCATACTAGTGTTGGAGTACAACCCTCGTGCTTTGTCACAGGTTTGATTGCAGTATGAGCACACTTTGTCGAACTGACATAGACGAAATGTCAACTTTGGTGTCAGCTGAAGCAAACATCAAAATCCAGTTGGTGGTGTCAGTTTCAAATGTCAAGGTTAATTGCAAGCTTAGCCTACCCTGGACCACTCTAGCTGTAGTTGCCTGCGGTTGCATCATAAGGGTGCAGACTGAAAGAAATCCACGTTTGTTATCCGAGAAGAGCTGAAAACATCAGTACACCGTTCTGTTATCTTGCGCTCGACTTTGTTACTGCCCTTATGTTGTCTCCATGCGAGCACACGAGACAAGCACCATTTGATGACCACATTTGGCTGGAGGACTCACAGGAAGAATCGGAACTCGCTGCTCTGTCCAGGACAAACTCTCTCGAGACAAAGAACGTCAATCTGATAAGACGAGATTCGTCGAGGACCAATCGAGTCCGAACCATTAGATAGCATGCGCTTCAAATTCTCGATGAACACAGGGGACGGGGCCGAAAGCGTTCAGCACACTTTGGATGAGGTATGGCGCACGCTGGCCCGAAGTTGGTCGTACTCAAGATTAGAAATCCCGTAAATGCTTCACGGGAAGGAGATCGAGTGAAAACACACAGCGGCAGCATCAATCAAGTATGCGAAACGAGGCGTCTCTGCTGGTCCACTCAATGGACGAGCATTACCCGGAAATATATAAGAGGAAACATCTGCCGAGACAAATCCTGCGGATCCTGGCTGGAAGAACAGAGAGAACCTCTGCCCACTCCTCCAGTGGGACCTGGTCTGTCAGCGCTGGTGGGACTCACGGGCTGCAAAAGCACCACCAGTTGCGAGTCAAAGTCAGGCCGGGTTCCACTTTTCCAGCTTTGCCGAAAAGTATGACGAGAGAGAATCCACAGCAGGTCAAACAGTCCTGTCGCCCATCCGCCCTCGTGTACATGCATAGACATCCGCAGCGCAGCTGCTAGCACTGTGTCGTCGGTCTCCTGGTCTTTCGCGCCACATCCGCGAAATTTGAAACCTCCCAATGATGCGCGCAGCAAAATCTCTGGAGCCGCATCCCCCACAGAGAAATCTCTCGCGGTAACCTCCGCCATGCCTCGCCAGGGTGAGGGGGAGGTTAAAAAAACACAAACTCTACGAGAACTAAATCGGGCAGCACACGACGACGAGAGGGATGTCCTCCAGCGATCGTGCGCGCGAGTGGGTGGGGCCACGGGCGGAGATCCTCGGCAAAAGCTCGAGCGCGCTACAACTGAATAATAGCAACCTCGTCTAAAGCAGGATTCATACTTCTGAGCTTCTGACGGTCGCCCAGGTCCTGCAACAAAGCGCTGGGAAGCGCATGGCGCGAGCTCTGGCGCAGGCTCGAAAGGTTCTTCGGGACGTCGCGCGTCCAATTATAGAGCCGCGCAGCCATTGGCCCGCGCCGGCAGGGTAAGTGAGGACTGGAGCAGACGGTTCGGGCAGAGAGACTGGCCGCACGATCCGGAGGCACGGGCTTGGAAGTCCCTGTCTCCCCATGCAGCGAACGGCCTCGATCGTAGCGTCGGCCGGTTTTTGAAAAGATGCGAACCGGAGCCGCTGGTCAGCGGCGGTCGCTGGCCCGTCCGTCGACCATGCGGCTCTCGCTGACGGGGACACCGACAGGCGACGCAGGCTTCGTCGCGGCATCCCTTCTCTGCCAACTGGAGGTCGGTCCCTCCCTCTGCATTTGCTCGATCCCCGTCGAGAAAGTGAAATGTCGAGCGGAATTTTCGCCCGACATTTCACTGAGCCTCCAGGCGTGGTAGCGGTACGTAGTAGAAGAGACCTTTGAGTCTCTGTCGAGCGAAAATTACGCCCGACATTTCAGCGGAGCCTCCAGGAGTGGTAGCAGTACTAGCAGAGACTCCAGGGTCCTTCCCGTGGTCCTGTGACCTGTGATCTGTCTCCGTCCCTGTCCCTGTCCCTCTACCCGCTGCAGCTCAGTTCAGTTCAGTTCAGTTCAGCTCAGCTCAGATCAGTTCAGTTCAGAGGAGAAGCGCAGCTCACTATAATACCGAACCTCAGCTCGCAGAGTACGAATCGGGGACAGTGGTGCAGCAGTTGGAATGTGCTGCTGCTGCGCAGGTCTGTGATTTCTGGTCGCTGTACACGAGCTTGAAATTGATCTAGAAACTGTCGTCAGTGACCAGTCCCCAGTCACCAGCTTTTGCAATTGCGCCACTTCTCCCATCGCTCTCCGAGGCCGTCCGCCGGGGTGGTTAATGCCATTTTCGAAATACGATGGCGAGTACCTGGACCCGAAGTGGGCGCGAATGAGGAGCAGGTTCAGGCCCAGCTAGCTCCCCCCACTCAATCACTCCTCCCTCGCTCGCTCGCAGCCTCGCAGCCTCTCTCTCTGCCCGTGCCCTGGCGGCTTTTCCCCCACCCCTCACCTCAGCTGGCCCCGTATCAGTCTCCCGTCCTGTTCGCGACTACAGTGGAGAGCAGCAGCGGCAAGTGGCGTACGTCCCGCAATCGCCACTCGGGGGCCTCTTAAAGGCTAGCGAGCCGCCGTGGGACAATACCGGTCGAGCGCAACGTACTGCTTTGATGCTCGGTGACAAGAGCCCGAACTGATTTGGTCTCAGAAGTCGAGCTCTCGAGTGGGCGATGCCGGAAGCCGGGCCCATGGAGCTGCAGCAATCGGCCAGTTCGCTCTTCGGGTACTCGGAGTCTTGAGCTTGGGGCTGCGGGGGTGGGAAATTGGAGCGAGCGAGAGAGTGGTGGAGATCGTCTCTCGGGAGGAGAGCGTGAATCTTTAGAGCTCCGAGGGGATGAGAAGCATTCATGTCAGCTGACGGGTGTGCGTACGCTCGCTTCTCGTGCAGCGTCCGAGGATGGAGACCGGCAACTGGGTGACGGGCACCGAGAGGTTCGAGTTCGAGTACCAGGGCCTCATCATCGGCCACAGGAAATTCTACGGGAGCTGGCTGGCGGACGACTTGGACGCTTACGATAAGTTCCGAGAGTGGGTCTACAAGACGGAGAAATTCTTCTCGCTGGCCGAAGTGAGCGAGGAGCGGAAGAAGCTCTACTTCGCCGGCGTCCGAGGCCTGGCTGGCGGTGCGCGCCGCTGGTTCCTGTGGAACACTCAGGCTCGAGAGGGCACCAAGCAGTGCATCAGTACGTGGGATGATCTTAAGGCAGGCCTGAAGAAGCGATTCTTCTGCCCGCGATTGTTGTACGAGAAATCCCTGCTAGAAATCATCTCGATCGTGCAGACTGGTAACATCGATGACTACTACTGGAAGTTCTTCAGACTGAGGCACAATCTGGATCTGTCCGAGAGGGCGCTCACCTGCCTGTTCACCAAGGGCTTGAAGCGCTGGCTGCGAGCTGAGACCATTGACCTGATGGTCGGGAAGGATGAGCCTCTGGTGGATGATCTGTGGAAGCGGTGTAGAGTTCTGGAGAATGGGCCCAAGGACCGCAAGGATCGGATGCTCGAGAACGAGCTCGTCATCACCAAGGATCTGAAACGCGAGGAGTTCGAGCTCAAGCTAGTCATGACCAACGGCGTCACGGTGAAAATTGAGAAGCTCGAGAAGTTCTCTGGCAGCATTGCGCCCGACGACCTCGACGCCTACTGCAGGTTCCAGGAGTGGACCAAGCACATGGAGAACTTCTTCTCCGTGGCCAAGATTTTCGACGAGAAGAAGAAGCTGCTGGAGTGCAGCAAGAGTCTCGGCGGCGAGGCACGCCAGTGGTTCGCATGGAGGCTCGCTCAAGCCAAGGAAGGCACCAACACGGGGCTCAGTACGTGGGAGCAGCTGAAGACCGGGCTGAGGCACCAATTCTTCTCCGAGAGAGTGCTGTATAAGAAATCTCTGCTTAGAATAATCAGCCTTGAGCAGATCGAGAGCATTCACCAAAGCATCGACCACTATTACGATGAGTTCGTCATGCTCAGGAGCAATCTCGACCTCTCCGAGCAGGCACTCACGTGGCTGTTCTTCAGAGGCTTGAGAGGCCCCCTCAAGGTCAAGATGGAGGAGACGATGGTCAGGGAGCAGGACATCACTGTCGACTATCTGTGGGAACGAGCGCGCGTGCTGGAAAGTATCATCAGCAGAACCCAATCTATATACGGGATGATCGACGATTGATGACACCAATTTCCATACCCAGACGACAGTTACAAGAATTTCCTTTATCTATCGGCAGATGGTGAAATCCGTTTGAAGGTGTCAGCTGCTGCTCGAGTAGCCCGAGGCGCATTCAATGTCGCTTAGAGAAAAAAGCTGCAGAGATAACCATTCGCTCCCCGGCTTCGTCTGAACTCGTGCCTGCTGTCATGTACAGAGAGAGAGCCGTGTCGCCCCTCCCCCCCGAAGATAGTAGATTTGCACGAGACTGTACTTAGCTGAGGAAAGAATCTGTCCTTGTACATCCTTACTAGTTATCAAATGTATGTTACAAAATTCCTGCTGTGCGGAGAGAATCTTATTGTCAAGATTGCCGTCTTCGAGATTGAGTGGAAATAGTCATTTCCTACAGAATCCTCGAGAAAGTTTTGATGAGTGTTCACATCACTCGACATTCTTGTTTTCAATATTTCTCATTCTTGTTTGACCCGCGGAGAGGTGTGGCTGGTCAGCCCCGTGGGTAGAGTTGTCGACACATGGTCGACTACTATTACGAGATCGGAGATGTAGCCACTGCCACTTCGCCGAGACCTTCTGTCTGAATTCAGCCGCATTCTAGTTATGTGAAATCTGAATTTCGGATTGAGACTGTTAATTGTGGAGACCTTTGTTTTCATAGCCGGAGGCTCAGATCACCCCGCAAATGTAATATTTGAAATCAACCATAGTCTGGACTTTAAAATTTCATGCATCCCTTCTTGTCGGCTCCTCCGAGAACTCTGCTTTCCGAAATGGACGATTGCAGCACACCTGAAAGATTCCCTCCTGAAATTATTGAGTTGATCTCTGGCTTCCTGAGTTTACGATAATCACTGTGCGTGAGGATAAAGTCACCAAAAGACACATATCCATTCAATTCGACATCTTTGTGTTTGCTCCAGTTTCCTCGATCCACTTCAAGTAAATTGAAGTTCTTTAGCAGGACAGGTGTATGGAATTAACTTCGCGTCGTCATGGTTGACTGCCGGTGGAATACTCCCTCAGCCGGAAAGAGTGAAATTTCTCCAAATATCTTCTCAATCGCCGAAGGATAAGCAAATTCATGCACAATACTTCCACTCTGCGATTAGCATCTCATGCACAGGCACGGTCCGGAGATGACGCTAGAAGCCAAATGTAGACGGTCATGTGCCTCCTCGAATTGCTGAACTTCGGATAAGAGGTCTTGGGTTTCTTTCATTCGCACCCTGGTCTGTGCACAAGATTGATGATGCCTACGGTCCCATCGCAAATAATCCCAAATCAGGCAATTGAATCGCCAAGGCCCACTTCGTCATCCAGCACTAGATTGGAAAACGTCTTATTAGATTGCTACGAGTGGACAGGAGATTCAAAACCGGGTAATGACGTCGTTGTTTATGTTGCTGTTTGTAAATGCCCATGATATCATAACCTGACTTTCGCACAGACCTCGTTCTCTCTCTACTCGTTTTGGTTTGATGAGCATGTTATCGTCAAGCTTCATGATGTTGCGATTTGGCACCATGTTCTTGTGTTTTTTAAGCAGTCAGAAGAAGAAAGAACTCTCCGGTGGAAAGACTGACAGATCACACTCATCTTGCGGTCATATAGCGAGGGTTACAGAGAGAATGATGCCTTACCATCTTTATTCTCCTGCAGGGTTAACTTTGGTAATTATTGAACACTGAAGCGGAGGTCTGAGATTTTGCCCTACAGCGAGTATAACTGTGAGGGATTCTTTCCCTACATACGGTATTGATGTCGCTGCTATCTTGATCATCGTCATGAAGTTGCTATTGAAGTTCATCAATAGCATTTAAGATAATGAGCAGCGTATTCATACCTTCAGACTCATACTTCGGATTGTCGAGAGAGGTAAGGGTATAGTGGAAAGCCGCCAGAACCACAGCGAACGCCGTACATCTATTGACATCAATACAATGATGAACAGCCAAAAACTGAAGGTTTGTCGTAATGTCATTTTGACCTCCCAATTTGATGGCGCGTGTTGTCATCCTTTCAGTTTTATTTCGAAAAACCTTCAGTTTTGCACAGTTCTCCCATAAATTCCTGATTTTATCTATCACTGGAGGCTCATTAATTTGTTCAGAGCATAAGGACCAAAATTGGTTCCAGATTTCCATTGAAGGAAGTACTGTCCTTAAATCGAACATGGAAATAGTTCTTCGCATTGCCACTCTCGTCGATCATCTGCGCTAGTGCTGAAGATCTACACTAGGACTGAACTGAATGAATGAGAGAGAAACACCTCAGACCAGTTGGGAATATTGTTAGTACTTGATGTTTCTGTAGCTTGGTGTATGTGGGGAACTTGAAGTGGTATTCTCTTTTACCCTTCAAGGATTTCAATTTCGGTAGGATCCATCATTGGGTTTTGAAAAGTTTGGTGTTGGTTTCTTCCGGCACAATTGACTTGACATTTATAAGTAGGTGCTCAAGCTCCGAGTGAGTGATGGTGGACAGAACCTTGTGTCCACCGGTGCCTGGTAGATGCCTAGTGGTGGGAATGAAGAGTTCCATTGCCTTTTAAGTTCCATTGTACATAATGCATCTTCGTATCTTCGTAACCCTCCGATCGTATGTGTTGATCATGAAGTTACACATGCTCTCTACAAACCATACAATTACGCATGCTTTCCATCAGAATACATGTTTTAACCTACTCCGCATTCCGAGAAGGTATCCACGACTGGAGAAGTACTAACTATATGCTCTATTTACAGATATGTTTAATATCGGTATGTAAAATTCTATCCTAAAAGCTCAGGGTGGGAATCCTAAAATGGAGAAACAACCATCTTACACATGCTCTCGTGTAATAAATACTTTCAACGTTAAAATTACCATGGAGAAATGTGCAGCAAGTAATGTAACAAAAAATGTGGGAAGATCCCATCAAGTCGTACATGCATGAAATCAAAGGCCTAAAAGGCCAAAGAGGGAAGGTGACCATTCAAAGCAATAAGCATGACATAGCACTAGCTCTCCCGTAAGAAATGTTTTTTAAGCCATTGGTTTCTATCGACCTATCCTGAATAATGCCATGTATAGCTCGCAATCAGTTTGAAATGAACGTGTATATACACTTATTGTCGAATCAAAAGACAAAGCGATATATTATTGAACTCAAAATTCTCTGCCTGGGCTTTGAGTTCAGTAGCTCGTGCCCTATAAGCCTCATCGAGACTGCGAAAGGGAGGGTGGTAATAGCTAACAAATCTGTGTAATACCGCAGTTTCACATGACTTGTGTTCAATCACTAATCACACAAGAACACGCAACGTTTAGAGTATCCAAAACCAAAATATGGAACCCAAATTCTGATGCTCCATGTAACACGTCTTTCTATACATATGGAACCCTTTTTAGCTCAAAGTTTCGTTTTGTTTTCAAGTACGTATGTTTTTATTGGAATCGAATCTCATATATAAGAAGGATATGGAAATAATGAATTGAATACAATCTGTATTTCTTTGATTTATTGTCAATGTAATTAAAGATAGTTCTTTCCAATATAAAAATTAACAGACCATCCAGTAAAAACAAATGAATAACAAATCAGTCTTGGGTTCAAGATATTACTAAAATCGAAATTTATTTACAAATAAGAGATCCACGTACATTTTCCTGCACGTAACTTCATTTTCGATATTCTACAGTGATATCCCTTCAGTCAGTCCTATCCGATCACAAACATTCTTAAGGACAACAATACAGTAATTCATTACGTTACAGAATTCTGCATAAAATCTGGGACATTTCCGATGTTCAATATCGAATCGTAATCGAATTAAAGCTGAACAAAAATTTATGTCCCATTATTCCTCCTAATTAATGCCCAGTTTGGATGTCAACTAAACCGTCAGGGAGATCTGTGTTCTTGGCAAGTAGCCGTTAAATTCAAATTAGTCAATGAAGGAGGGGTTTAGGATTTTTACGTGAAAAACTTCAAGATCTGCCATAGTCAATGAACTGAGCAATCCTCCATCGGTGGGTAGGTACAGAAAGTTCCCGATCTGCTAATGATCATTACGAACATCCATAAGCGCTATTTATGTCGAGGTTGAAAGAAACTCTCGGAACTCTGGATTCCTCGTCTTACTTGTATCTCCTGTACTGTACTGGGTAAATCTGTATTACTGGTGTTCATTTATGCCTAATGCCGTGGAATAATCAGATCTTGCACGCTAATCTTCTGAACCTTCGGTGATCAGAGTGATGGATGTACTGTCTCAGAGAGAGGTTTGAAAAGAACAGTACTATGAAAAGTCGATGCTGTGAGTTTGTACATGTTCTTGAGGTCATTTATATTGCTAATGATCGTTCAAGCGTCGATACCTCACTCTTGCATTCAAGCCTTCACTGATAGTCGGAACAAAATGGATGGCATATACTAGAATAGTACGGGGTTTGAATTTCGAAAAAATTGGCTTCTTTTTATCCAACTTGATAAACTATAGTAATTTTATAAATCAATACTGTTTAATTGGTTTGTCTTCATTGACTTCTTCATTCAACACATCGATACCATCCCTATACTGTCATATATGCAATTCGGGGTCACATTAGTCTAGATGTTATTCAGTTTCGCTTTGAGAGTATATTATCGCCCATAATTGTCACCTAGAAAAAAGTGTTTAAAAAAAATCAGTTTGATTTGGTTCTCATACCTCCTTCCTTCACTATTTCAAGAAAATAAATTCAAATAATATTAATTTTAGATCGTTAAAGGCTTATTGGATCATAAATTTTTTGGGTTTAAATTTACTCTTTGCAATCTGAGATTAAAAAAATATAATTAACAAAATAAATTGTGGCAGTTTTTTTAAGCTTGTAATTGGACCAAAGAATATAGAAAATAAGAAAGCAAATATCTTAAGCATATTCTAGCTTATTTTAATTACAAATTAACTACTATCAAGAAAGTTCCTCTCGTTTAGTAGTGGATTGGCACTAACTATATTTTTATGTACCAACTTATATTATTTTGTACATGTGAATGAGATCTCAAAACAAGTAACGGGACTTTGGGCCGAAAAAATGAATTTTCCGAAGTACATATAGTGTTATTAATTGTATCATGTAGTTGTACATTTTCTCAACACTTTTTCCAAATAGCAACTCAATATCTAAAATAGAACATATTAGTTCTACTAGAAATGAGATATTTATATAACTTTAAAATAAAACGTAAATTATGCAGTCATCCAAGCAGAAATTTTTTTTTCTGGTTTAGAAAGTAGAAATGAGCAAGCTTTAAATATTTATACATGTACATATGAATTTCTTATATGTTAACAATACCGATACAGCTAACCTTGAGTGTGGGATAACATGGAAGTCATCACTTGATTTTACAATATTTCAAACTTTGGAAAATGCTACATGGGTGTAATTGTTTGTACTACTAGAGGCCATAATTACCATATTTCTTTGATAATCCAAGTTATGAAGAAGCTTGAGTTGTGCAGAATGAAGCAAAGTCACTTCTGAAGTAAAATCTCTGTGTGTTCAAGTCATAGAGAAACTTGTACCCTGCCAATAAAGCTAAATTATTATTATTATTGAAAAAAATCATAGCTTAGTCTCTATGTTCAGCTTTCTATTGTAGAGTGGTCATGCAAAACGTTTCAACCAAAAGGAAATTCAGTTCAAACTTCAAACATGTAGAAACTTGTGAAAAAAGTATTGATATCCATGTGGTGTCGGACTTATAAGAGAAGCTTCTACGCCCTTGACAAAAAAAGGTTTCATCCATGCATGTATTTGCGGTGTGTGAAAATACAAAAAAGTGAATATGGTTCTCGATACTATGTCGAAAATCGAAAATCGCAATATATATCTTGAAATTTCGAATTTTTTCAACCCTGCTGATTCTCACCTTTTGGTTTGTGTGCAACTCCTTTTTATGATATCTTTCTATTCGCGTCAAGCCATAAATAATATTCTTTTCTTTGATCATTATTCTTTCAACCTTCTTTGCCTCTAATCTTATTTCCAAAACCATGATCATTAAAGTATGAGCCAAATTTTTCAATTTCCATTCCGATCATAAACAGGGTATAAGGTAAACTCCAAGGATACTGTGAGATGATAATTATTGGATAAAATATTTCACTTATATGTATATATGATGTATCCACATTTTCCTCAATACGATACATGCAGAATTCATCACTTTCAATAGTTATTTGCTCATAAATTTACCTAGATAGAAAATTTTAGTCATTTTTATTACTTTGTAGTAAGTCGCATCTTTGGAAAAAACCTCTGGAGTGGAGTGTAAAATTGGAAGGGAGTTCTTTTGTAATGAGGCTTTTGAAAATGTTTAGTTCTCCTTCAATCTTCTCTTTGTATAATGTCGATGCACAAATATACTCCAGGCCTCGATCGTTTCTGTCCGGAGAACACTCAAATTACTCTCTCATAATACAAACCTAATAGATTTATCCATCGTACACGGAGAGACATGTATCTGATCATGTTCTTGCGCTTCAAGCGTATCGGACTGGACTGGCCCACTGAGCTTATGAAAGTCCAAAATTTTCGTCGAACACAAGAAATGCTTTCCTCAATGATCCAAATTTATTGCGATTAAAACTATTTGCCTGACTAGCCTGGAATGAAGCGTGCACCAGTTCCGCGTCATGGAAGTAGAGAATTATGTCAGCGACCGAGCACAATGACCGCTCCTCGTCGAGGCCAATTGGACACCAAAAACCCTGGCTGCTGTTCGTAATTCGCGATGAGCTCCATGGCTCCAGTCAGGACTCTTGTCCCAAAAACGAAACTGTAGGGACTATTTGTACCGGGGTATGATGAAGTGATGGTTTCCGTTTGGGATATCGGGAAGTAGATCTACACTATGGGCTATTTCGAGCAAATTTGTTATGTACACTACACTACTTTCGAGCAGCCTCACTTATCACGCACAACATCATGGTTCATGGTATGTACAACTGCATCTTGCGCTCTCCGCTTGCACCTATGTTGCACCAAATGCAGTATTGTTTGAGTGGCAAAACAAAATGACAGACAATACTCGAGTAAACTTCAATCTATTTCCTGCTTCTATCGAACTTTGTTTTGTATTATCAATAGATTTACATCCACTGTACACTCACGCCTAAACGGGAATCAGTTGTGTAACTTGGAGGTGATTCCAGTAATTTTTCCAAATAATATTTTGTACTCAAATTTTGAATGTATTTCTATGCACTTTCAGCCAAAGAGTAACCGAGAGCTGATACGAGGAAGCAAGGGAGACGATAGTAATAAAGTCGCGATGCAACAACTTCGACAAAGGTACAGTGCAGGCAAGAAAAGTGTCAAACCTGGCCAACGGAAAGAAAAGCAGAGAGCTTGTATCTCTCGTCATAATCATTATGTCTCCAAGGTTGACTCTAATGTAGAATCCACATGCAGATAGACAGTCTGGGTGATAACAGGCGGTCTACAACAGTGGCTGATATGAGCTACATAGTAATCTTGTCTTTGAAACACGAATTTATTGATTTCGCATGACTGGACGGAAGATGCACGTTCGACCTGCAGTCGAAGCGAGCCAACAGAATAGAGACTACACATTTCTCAAGGTTAACTCCTACGAATGTCAGAAGGTACTGTAACAAAAGAAGGAGAAATAAGGCTGCGAATTATGTGCCGCGTTCTGTACGATGGTGCACATTCCATGGTAACCTTTTTCTCCTTTTCACTACACCAGGAAAAAATATTTTTTGGGGCGTCTCCGTACCCTGAGATCTAAAGTCATAATAGTGAGCCATGATCAAAGTTCTGTAATGGAGAAATTATTGTCGAGTACTTTGATGCTTCCCATTTTGAATCAAATCAAATTTTGTGCACATGCAACTCTCAAAAGTGACGAACACCTAGATTCAAGTAACATAATTACAAGGATTCCAAATGCCCTATCAAGTTTGTAATGAACTATGCACCAACATCGCAATGCTATATATTTCATGTTAAATATATTATCTATTCAATTGTTTCAAATATCCATTTCATAGAACATTGTAGTGAAAGATATACAATAAACTACAATGATAAAAGTATATAACATACAATTTAAAAAACCGTGGCGCAGTCCACTAATCCATAGTGAATCGTACCACGACTTTATTTACATCTATACTCATGTGAGTTTTAATGAAGAGGTGAATTCAAGATATAAAATAGATTAAATATTCAATTGAATTCAAAAGGTAAGATGAAATGAACCATCATCAGTTTGTTATTTCCAATTTTTTGGTGATTCCAACTTACAATGTTCGGAGTTGGTAAATACCTAGAGTGAATATCGATTGACAATCAGGGTTGCTTCAGTTTACAACTCGAAGTTGTCCCTCATGAGACACGTGCCCGATCGATTTACAATCGAATTGTCGTCAACATTTTAGTTCAACACAATACTCGGAATTGAAAAAAAAAGGGTCTAATGTGTCTGGACCGGTCTTCAGTGCAGGAGCCCGTCGCTTCTGTAACGCAGGACGACTTCGAGGGAAGCAGTTCATGCTTCACTCATGACATACGTACGGGTATTATAGAGAAGCTTCGCGGGGGAGAGCCTCGGCTCCAGACGAAGCAGCGCAAGTCATGCTGTACTCGTACAAAAGGAACTGCTGAACAGGGGAGGTCCTCCTGAATGGTTGGATGGTTGACTGTTCCCACTGTCGGAGAGACGGATTTGGTCCACGTGTATTGACCAGGTATCCGCAGAGGTGAATCGTATTTGTAAAAATGTATGTATCATATGTAAAATATTGTAATATATACTATACATGAAACATTACTTTATTATTTATTGTATTGTTTATTGTATATATCATATGTACAATATAAAAACACAATATAATAGAGTAAATTATATTCAAAGATGAAACCAAACAAAAATTACAATACAGGCATACCAGAGTGTAAAATATCACTCCCTCGGACTTTTTTGAGTGAGAGGGTCTGGCCAGGGCCTTCTTCGAGTTGTCAGTTGACTGCACCTGCCAGAGAAACAGTCTTAGGAACCTGCAGCTGCACTAAACGTGGGTCGGCTGTGTACGTAATACGGAGGGCTGCTTCTCGGGAGGCAACTGCACCCCATCCCTGTACGACTTGATGGGGGTCGTTCCTTCCTTCTTGCCGTATTAACTTGGTTCCCCACTGCAGCATTGGATTGGTGAACAATCATAGTGGGCGTGCTCTGGTCTTCGACTCTGTCTTATATAGAGCCCACGGCAGTTATGAAGAACCTGAACCAACGCATCCTTAGCTTCTTGTTCATCTTCACAGGCAGACTGGTCAGAGAGTTAGACGTGGGATTTCACAGTGGGAATTTCGGGAAGATTTTGCCTTAGCACAGGTTTTCGAGTGAAATTTCCTCTGAAGCTGGATTCTAGTCGTCAGGGTAGTGAAAACTCTCTCGGTTAGATGTAAAGTTTGGTGGATAATAAGCCATCGAAGGAGGACTGCAGAAGTTACAGAAAGAGAATATTACGAATTAGAACGTCAGGACCTGACATTGCGACATTTCGTCTGATAGAGCGAGCGGATAGTACGATCAGACAACGGAGGCGATCCGGGAATGAAGATCAACGGAGAGTCAGGAACTCTCTCCCCTTCTGCGCATCAGGGCGATCAGACGTCGAGTGTGAAGTTGGTGATGTCTTGGTGCAGTCCCATGGCTCACCAGGTGGCCATCTCTTTGAGACATAAACGCGTGAAGTTCACTCTCATCGACGAGAAGATTTTGAACAGAAATCCTAGAACTCTGAATGCCAACCCATTGTGCAAGAAGGTGCCCATTCTGATTCACAGGAGGAGGCTTGTACAAGATCCTCTCATCATCATGGAATACATGGACGACGCCATGTCGAAGGATCTCGTGCAATTACTTCCTAGCGATCCCTTTGAACGCTGTGCAGCACGTTACTGGAGTCGTTACATCCAGACTAAGGTACGTCATCGGTCACGCAGTTGCAACACACAAGAGAACGCCTTGACGTTGAAATCACAGCATTATCTCCAAACTTTGTTCCCATTTAAATCGTTTTGTCTTGACCAACTATTTGACAGTCCTGCATTGAAATCAAATATTCTGTGTGAATGGTATGAAATGGAGTCATCGGATATGCGTTTAGGACGTGGGATTTGAATCCCCGTGTTTCTAGTGTGTTTCTAGTTTATGAATGAAATGAAAGAATCGGTGGAGGTAATTAGAATGGATCCGTTTTGAACATTTTCTGCTTAGCGAACTGATGTACTCCAACGATTTATAGGATGAGCAGCTCAAGCTTGGCAATGCTTGTAAATGGCTAAACACACTAATCCTCCATCCGGATGAACGTACATTCGTGCTGCTTAGAATGAAAATGTAGACACATGCTCGAAATATCTGTACACATTTAAATGTTGTAATATTTGGAAGCCAAGTAGGAGTCCAAAATGCAGAGGTAGGCTGGAAAAAATGACGATGAATGCATCTTCCGTTGCCGGGACTTGAACCCGGGTCGCTCGGGTGAGAGCCGAGTATCCTAACCAACTAGACTACAACGGATGATGAACAATGGGACTCCAATTCTTTACATATCCTTGTTTTATTCAAACTCTGACATTGACCTCTTGCAACACAGGTCATTGCGACTGTCTTAAAATGTGTAGATCAGGACGAGGGCGGAGCGACCGACTGTTTGTTCAACACATTCATCCATCTGGACAAGATTCTCTCAATTGTAGCTCCAGAGTGTTGTTTCTTTATGGGAGACGAGCTCGGATTCGTAGATATAGTATTTGCTCCAATTATTCCCTGGCTGCAGGCACTTGAACACTTGGATACAATTCGACTGCCTACTGCTCTTGAATGCCCGCATCTACACAAATGGTTGGATGCTCTGAAACGACACCCCAGCGTACGGCCTTCTTTGCAGGTTTGCAGTCCTGAAAGGCTTGAAGTTTTCATTGCTGAAAATTTTCGAGATCAGCCTGTGGGGCAATGAAACAGACTCTACATTCATCGGACCTAGCGTTCTTCGACCTAAACATCAGTCTTTCAAATTTTTGGCTTCCGCACTTCGAAGTACTTGGTGCATTAATTCAGTTTCTCCCATAATGTCCTCCCTTCATTTATTTTAGATATCTCATCATTTGCAGATTGAGATCATTCTTTTGTAGTCCATTGGGGCTAGACCCCATCACGACCCCAGGTGTTGAATTAAAAAGTCGCGGGGTTGGCGACAATAGCAGTATTCTAGATACAAGTTCTCAGTGAGAACCGGGTTACACATCACTTGAACTGTTGGTTTGAAGCCATATCGTTAACAAGTGACAGTAAAATCTGAGTCTCAAGTGTATCAGTAAAGACAGCCTTTGGAATGACGATGTGATCTATCACGATAATTCAAACTTACAAATTTCTTTGACTCTTTCGTCACATCAAATACCGTCTTCCTAGCTAGGAGATCAGACACGTATATAAAGTCTTTCCCAAGGTCCTGAGTCATAGTTACTATCAAGTTCCAAATCCGCCGTAAACACACCATCTTTATAAAAACTGTGCCGTTCCAGCATCGAAAAGGCCCCTTTGACATCCACGAGTCTCCATTAAGAGATTAGCATGTACTGGATGCTGTGTAACGGGTTGCTTCCAAATTTCTTATCGTCTGCGTGAAATGTGGTGGGCATAACTGTGAAGAAACTTCAGACAATTCAGGATTCGAATCCAGTCTATAATGGGTTTCCATGGTTCCACACATCTCTGGTACAAGGTAGTAGCAGACGACAGTGCTCCACTGCTTTCAAGAGCTTCTGTGTTTCAAAACTTGTGTAGATAGAAGGCGAGTGTTCGGAAAGATGGTGATTCAGAGCAATACACCTCATGGATAGCGATTTGTTGAACTTCACAGATGTGTATGCCAAGCACTGATCCGAAAACTCTTGAATCGCAGTGCAACGTATGTAAGAAGTTTTATAGGCATATAGAAACGAAGTAGATTATCTGCAGCTTTATAGACCTCAGGTTGTGAACTGGCCACTGTGAAGTTGGTTTACCTTAGCAATAAGTCTAATTCAATGCGAATATGAAACTTTATTTACTGCTGACAAAGACTCAGACAAATTATGAACTTCAAGAATATAGAAGGCAAAAATGCCTATTGATGTCACTCTACCTCAAGTACACATGAAGGCTGCTCTCAAAAAAGAGAATTCGCTGGACGTGTTGACCAGTTTCACGTGTATGAAAAAGCAGATCCACCCTTCAAACCCTCGCAAATCATAGTCGTGAAGAATTTACGACTAACTTGTGCACAGCCAAAGCATACACAAGTCAATGACCATGAATTTGGGCAGAGAAACGATACAGAGACCAGCAAGGTTGATACAAATTTCACATATTTATTTTCCTACTTGCGTCCGGGTCTAACAGCCCGCCAACGCAATCATCCAGCCAGTCATCCACAGAATTCGTACAGAAACTTTCAAATTTTCTACTGTGATGATCTGCGACTCACAAGTTTTCACCTCAAGTGTATCAATCCAAAATTCTCGAGGTGCATAATGAGCTTGTTGAGCCCTAAATTCATCCGCATCCAGCTTTCTCAGATAAGTTTATGCGTAAACTTCTGCTCTCCAACGACAATCATCCCAGATACACGAATTCCAGAATTCAAGGAGGTTTAGGGTTTTCCACAAAAGCCCGTACTCCAGCTAGCCAGAGCTAAGATCTCGCCTGAGATAATCAAAAATTGAAAAAATACTGAATTGGTCACACTGAGATCTGGATACTGCATCTCTGCTTCTGCATAGAAGAAGATCTCGGAAAATGAAAACGGACTGGTCCCGTTAAACATGAAAAAAAAATCCTGGGCTATGAACCCGGAGTTCTTCGCCGACATGAAATGTTAGAGGTCTATTCAAATGAGCTTCACACCACTCTCCCTAAGGCTGTCAACAAGAGCTTTCCGCTTCCCATGATACCTCTCGCCCCTTTCAAGCTCAAATGCTACGGCCGGAATTTCCTTCAGTTTCAAGCGCTCTGCAAGAATCTGCCCAATCTTCGCAGCAGCAGCTACATCAGCGGTATTAGGAAGCTCTCCGCGCAAGAGCTTTTCTTGCGACGAAGCAGCAATGACAGTGGTACTCGTCGGCGAATGCACTACTTGGGCGCTGACGTACTTGTTGGAGAAAAACATCTTCAAGACATAAGGTTTCAAGTACTTCGTCACTCTCGTCATCTGTGCAGAGTCCGAACGCACGACCTCTTCAGCCCAGTGCAGGAAAAAAAAACTTCCAGTGCGATTCCTAACTCTTCCACTCACTTCCAGATACTGGATTGTTCACGATCTTCATAACCAGCTAAGATCGCAGCTGCAAACCCTGATCGTCGCCAATTGCTCACATCGACAGGTACAATCTCCTCGGCCCAGACGAGTGTAAGAATTGAATCCCTCCCGTGATTCAACTGGTGATCTTCTTAGAGTTACGGCGATTCCAACTAAGAACCCAGACTAGTTCAAATTCCACGTTCACAATACCGGAGAATGATTCGAGTGGAAGCAGACGGGAGCGAATTCTGCCGATCTTCGGAGCATTGTCGCCGTTCTGGGACTGGAAGTGAACTCGGAATCTTTCCAGTGCAGCCGTCGATGAGGCCTGTAACTGCGTTCCTTCCATCTGAACTATGAACCTGACGACCACGTCAGTGTTTACCTCGTTCCAATTCAAGAATCTGCCGATCGTTAGCAGCAGCAGGATGAAGACTATGGTTCACGAGTTGTCATTCTCTTCCGCATTGAATTTGGAAATTGGCAAATACAATTTTCAATAACTTTTGTCAAAGTGTGACAAATCTTGAGCTTGAGAATCAATCTTAAAACTTTGGGTATTTCATATCTGAATGTTGTTCTTGAAATATTCTATGCAGTAAAGCTACACTTGCTATACATAGAGATTCTTCCCAAATGTTCTACTTCCTCCTTACTAAAGTAGCCAAACATATGGCTACGTTTGTTTGATGTCCATCGATTATGTATACTCAATGTTAGTCATGTGTTACTTAGGTCATTTTTTTTTTCTAATTTTGTCACAGAGGATCAATATATAAAATGTGATTTCAATTGAATGTAAGGCGAGCACCTTTAGATTTTCCAATATTAGATTTTTAGATTAAATTCAATACATTACATCTGTTTAAACTGAAAGCTTTTTCGTCATTAATTTTTTTTAAATGAGAAAATTGTAAAAAATCATAGATCTATAAAATCTTACTTAAATAATATAAAAGCTAATGCAATTTGGGCATTAGCTTTTCCTTGAGTAGATTAATATAGTGAGTTGAGTATGGAGTATACAGGCAATTATTCTCTATTTTTTTAAAGGAAATCATCTAATGTCAGACCTCGACACTTGCTACTACTGTACGTACAATATTTTTCGATGTTAGTGTCTACTGGAGTTTGATTCTATTCCAACTTACATGATTCCATTTCCTCTGCCATCACAATATCATACACTGGAGTTCTACGAAGGATGCAGTCTAACAATAACAAAACCCAGTACGCGTACTCAACCTTGTTGTTCGTATATTCCTTCGAAAGATTCTCGGACTGGTACCGTGAGCGCTAGGACGTAGGCTTGGCCACGGTCCGGTTAACCGGTCCGGAAAATTTGTGTACCGGTTAACCAGTATGTTAACGGGTCCAGGATTTGTACGTATCGGTTAACGATTAACCGATATTTTAACTGGTCCCGATGGTTAATCGATTAATCATCGGTCCGGACCCCTACGTGCCCTATGGGGAGGGGCCCTAAAAACAAAAAATTCTCGATGGTGGAGGGAAAGAGGTGGGCCGCGACTCAAATGAACCCATGGCTGGACTTTCAGAGTTCAGCCACTCGAGCTGAACTCTGAAAGTACCAATTCGCGAATTTTTTCCCACTGGATCACCAATTGGGTACCTCGCTAGTCTAATTCTGCTGCCAGAGGAAATTTTTTTCCCGGACCGGTTAACCGTGGGTCCGGACACAATTCGCGAATTTTTTCCCACTGGATCACGAATTGGGTACCTCGCTAGTCTAATTCTGCTGCCAGAGGAAATTTTTTTCCCGGACCGGTTAACCGTGGGTCCGGACCGTGGCCAAGCCTAGTAGGACGATGGTACGTCGAGGCAGTTGGGGCCCGGTGAAAGGCCGCGATGCCGTAGAGAAGTCCACCGCGCAGTTACGACGTACGTGGAAACCTGCAAGCGCCCGCCCGGATAAGACAGGGGGCGTCCACCTCGTAGGCAGCTGCGCACAACGGGACAAGGGCGCGCAGAGTTACCGTGGCTGGCTCCTGGTCCCGGATAGCATGAGCCAACGGCGTCGCCAACCAGCGATTTACGCGACACGCGATCCATCAGCGGATCTGGGCTCGACGGGGCTGCCCCACGGCGCAGATTCTTATACATTTCGCAACAGGCTGCTTCGATATATTTGCGGAATTTGGAGTCGCTGCGGAACGGATTTGCGGACGGAAGGAAGGAAGCAAGCGCGACAGGGATTGGAGGATTGATTGGAAAGAGGAGGAGTGGTGCTGCGGGATTCGAAGGCTCGGGATCGAGGAGGATTAGGTGCGGAGCTATGGCGGCAATGAACCAGTTGCTGCTGTGCGGAAATCACACGGCGATTCAGCCGACGAGATGGCAACCGCAATCTCTCAGGGGGACGCAACTGGGCGATGTGACGATGGTCAGAATAGCGCCCGCAGCCGGGGCCAGGGCGTCGAGGAGCGTCAGCGTCAGGAGCTTGTTCGGGAAGAAGCAGGATAGCGACGACGACGCCAAAAAGGCCGGGCTGTTCGGAAATCTGCAGGGTTTGTACGATACCGTCAGGAAAGCGCAACAGGTGGTGCAAGTCGAGGCTGTGAAAGTGCAGAAGGAGCTGGCAGCTGCCGAGTTCGATGGCTACTGTGAAGGCGAGCTCATCAAAGTCACGCTGTCGGGCAACCAAGAACCTGTGAGGGTAGAGGTTTTGGAAGCTGCAATGGACGTCGGGGCCGAAAGGCTCGCAGAGTTGATAAATGAGGCATACAAAGATGCTCACACCAAGAGTGTACTGGCCATGAAGGAGCGCATGAAGGGTTTAGCAGAAAGCCTCGGAATGCCCCCTGGAATCGGCGGTGGCGGAATGCCAGGAATGTAGGTTTGTCATTAGCTCATTTCAGCCTCGTGTCGAGTATGCGTGTTCTTGCAGCTTGTGCAGTATTATGGAGAGATGAAACAAGATTATGTAGGGTTCGTGTATGATTTCGACTGTAAAGATTTTTCGAAACTCATACCTCACGTTGTAGAGCATCTCTGGGATCGGGGATTTCATCTTTGATTGAGAATCTGGTCCCTCTTGATTAAGAAAATTTTGCACTGCGGAGTGTTATGACGACATTCTCCTCTCCGCTCTGCTCTGGGTTTGCAGTAAAAATTGTTGTCCTAAGGAGTCATTCTTTAAGTCAACGGATTAAAGTTGCGAAAACTGTGTCCTGTGGTGGAAAGGGCTGGATGACATGAAAGATGCCACTGCGAGGAAAACAGCTCTGGATGACATTTACAGATTCGCCCGTAGCACCTTCGCATTTCTCTCTCTGTTACGTGCTGTGAAGTTCTAGCGCTGGCCATGTGAGCGAATGCTGATCGATTTTTTTTACTCTGCACTTTTTTAGTACGTACCGTCTGTGAACAACAGATTTAGAAGAGTGTGGGCATTGCCATGGGTTTTCATGTCGACTACCCGGCCCTAAGCTGAGAATGGGAACGGCCACACTAAACTTACCAGGAGAGAAAACTTGTTTAACAACGCCAGAGTGCAAAATTTCAGGCAGTCTGTCCTTACAAGGTTCCTCTATCTACCTCCGAGGTTCTGGTTGCGAAATTCAATTTTCCGTTCTGATGGTTTGTGAACTTGAATTGAAATATGAACGAGCTTTCGATGGAATCTCATGCTGGACTCAAAATCCTTGTCTCTGCTACACTCGCACTGAAAATTCATCGAGCAACAAGAGAGGTTTACAGCCAGATGAATCGAAGCGGCAATTTCTGTAATTCTACTCAAGAGTTTTTTTATTGCGTATGGAAGTTTCGCAAATGAAAACTAGCAGAGATCACCTGAGAGAGCAATAACGACCAGCTATGCTCTGGACCAAGTTAATCCAAGGAATGGATCCGAGAGGAACCTTGTTGTGTAACTTATATGTATCTGAACTTCAAAGGAGAAACTTTTGCCAAATACCCGCGAAGGGATCGTTGTTGTCAAACAAAGCTATTTCTCACCGACTTGCATACTGGCATTGACGTGAGGAGGCGCAAATTGGGCGATTTCTGACAAGTGAGACCAGCTCTCTCCTTTCCTTTTGGCCCTTATCTTCGTGTCCGCAATCGGCATGTTTTAACCTCCTCTGTGCACTGCTGTCGATAATTATTCATAGCTTTCATATAGTAACATGAGCGATCTCTTCCTCTGCCTTTTCGTTCGTTACCTCCGTCGAAGGGGAGTTTAATTTTTAAAGCGCAATTACCCCAAAATAAGTCAGAGAACTTTGTTATGTGCTCATAAAAATGAGCTAGTAATAAAAACTTCGGCCTACACAAACAACGTTCACAGCATGGCACATTCTGCCATTGGATAAAGTGACGAGCTCTTCAAGGCCATAAGTGGACGCTGATGGAAAAGCAACGTGGCGAGTTCTGTGGGTACTACCACCATGTGCAAATGAACATGCTCTGGGCCACCTGTCTCCACCCAGCTTCAGCTCATTGCCACGGTCTCGTGTAGTCCTTCAAGAAGAAGCTGAATAAGTGGCAGGCATAATTTTGCCATTCAGGAGGGAAGTTATCAGGTGGATCCGCAGGAAGAATGGCAACTTGCCCGTCCAATTTGCTGTGCAGAAGCTCGAGAACATGCCACTGATCGCAGTCCACCCAGCCATCGGCCTTGGGAGGGGAGACGTGCGCAGTCAAAGCAGTCCGCAATTCTTCGTCGGTGAGCACCATAAGATCTTGGACCACCGCCTCTGGCAATGGAGAGTCGAAGTTCAGCAGTTTCACTTCGTAATCCTCGTCGCTGTTGTTCAGGGCTATCCAATTCAACCGACCCAAAGCTCGCTCGTTGCCATCGTACTCCAAGTAGGTGAGGTTCGGGCTTCCTCCATCGAAATAATCGAAGATGACAACGTAGCGTCTTCGTCCTGGCTCGTTGTGCGAACGCCCTGATCTCGTAAAATCCGGTGCTATGAAGTCCACATATCTCAATTCTCTCTGGGTCGAGACGACAGACTCTAACTGTATTTCTTCACGCGACATGGAGCGAGGCGGCATTTTGAATTCGGACTCCGAGCTCGATTCTTCGTTTTCGAAAGGCTTTTCTTCGCAGTCCACTGGTACTCTACATCCGACTAGCAAATCTTCTCACTTTCTCAAACATTTATCGTTACTCCTTCAGATGGACCAATCCTCGTAGCGCCTCGAAAGCCTGTGAAAAGCCCAACTCGCACGCTCAAAGGCTTGGCACCGAAAAATTGAATTTTTTCGCAGAGTGCACGATTAATGTGCGGACGATTATTGCAGCTAGTGCAGTCAACACTCTTATGCCTGAGTCTAGCAGAAGATTCCGTAAGTGATGCAACTCGACCAAATCAATTGCTGGAAACACATCAAATAGACTGACCCTGCCGGCCAACTGGAAATGGGATATCGGACAAAAGTGGCAGAGCTGGCCTGAAGAGGCAATCCAAAGAAAATTCCATCCACCTGCCTCATCTAAATTATCTAGAGAATCCCCCACCACTTCTCTTTAGACAGATCTTTCTATACTTACGATCAATGCAGAACCGACCATATAATCACAATCGGATTAGTTCCCAGTGGATGGCCAATTTGCTTGCTGAAGGCACACTTTGAAGGTCAATCGAAGAAGCCAAACTGATACATCTGAGCGGGGATCAAAAGTTCTCCTTTCTCAGAAGCTATGATTGCTCTATAATGAGGGCAAAGGCTGGCAGTCACGCAGGCAGGGGAGACTGACGAGCAATTTTTATCGAAGACTTACAGAAAATTTGGACGCGCGCAACGGGTGTCGGTGGGGTGCATATTACACTCGCACATCTACGATCCAGTGGTACCCCCTACGAGGGGTTCTTCAGCATGGTTCAGTTCTCATGGACGATTGCTTGTAGGCGCTTGAAGGGGAGACGAAGAGTCGTCCCAAGGCTTCAGACCATATGATTGCGTGCCAACATAATCCTACGTGTCCGGAATTCCCAGGACGAAGACAGGACGAAGTCAGTAGCTTCCCCAGCAATGAAGCTGATGTCGAGGCAAAATCCAGAAGAGGTCTTTAGTTCTAGGTTTGACTTTCGATCTACATGTTCTGCGTTCATGATTTTCTGTTTTAGAAGCTTGATGCACCATGTTCTGATTTCCTTCCTTATGTTCCTCCTTAAAAAAAGCAGGCCTTCCGGGGCCCAGAAAGTCCCACCAGCAGGTCGTTTTCCGTTTCTGTATGTTGTTTTTCTTGACTGGTCTCGACCCCTATTGGCCAGTAAAGAACAGTCCAGGAATCATTCCACAGAGCCCGTGGCCGACCAAGGTTAGAAAAGTCAACGAATAACACCTCTTCCCGTATATTCGACCATGAAGGGAGAGGAATCAATCGAAAAACATAGGGAAAGAAACTGGGAGTTGGTGAAACTACCTGCACATAACAAGCTGCTCCTGATACCTTCGCCTGCAAATGACAATTTTCCGTGACAACATACTCTATCAGCAGTTCGTCGACTTACATCTTGGGTAGTTTACTTCTTCACATTTGTGAGAACCGCTTTATGACAGCGTTGCAAATATTATTATACGAGGTCAATTCTCACAAAGCTCCCTCGAATCATTCAAAGAATGTTTTTCTTCAAGGAAGAGGAGCAAAGAGTCAACTGACATTTGTATAATTGAAAAAATATTTAATCAAGAATATACAGGATACAGTATTTCTCTCAATATCTTTTAAGAATGGAACCTTATGTCCCAGAGCCAATTAATGAACGGGGCATAGAACTAAGTGCTCTCCAAAACACTGTTCTCCAAAACCGCACCTTGAACAACACATTGCTTTCAACGTTCCGTTGGTACGAGACGTAATTTGGTGGAACGTCACTTAGTAAAGACGGGCACCTATAGTTGTATTTCTAGATTATCACAACTCAATATTCATATCTTAGTATGTCACGATCATTATTTCATACTGGAGCTTATCTTACTGCAAGTCTTTTAAGTTTACTCCTCGGCATCTTGCCGGTTTGTTCTTTTTGCGAAGAGCACTAGTCGGTTTTACCTATTTTCTGAAATTTGAAAGCGTAAGTAGACATCTAAAGTCGAAAATGGCTGTACAATTGTTTGTTCATCTCTGCACAGACTAGAGGTCAAAACAACGAATCACAAAAAGTTCTCAAAGATTGCGATTAGGGGCAAGCTGGATCTGGAGACCTGTCGTTCATCACACAAGCTCTCCGAGCTGCGATATGACTGGACGTTAACCGTAATGTAGGGGCAGACGGGCATTCTATATTCTCCAGAACTCCCTTGGCCACAAAGACAATGGAGAATAGAAATGATCTCCATATCCATTACGATCTTCCGTTTTCGATGGTGAGTGGATTTGGAAGTTCTGATTGATGTTTCTACAACTGTGTCTTTTATCTGGTTCTAGAGATCCGAAGTAAAGAATCGTAGAGAACGCACAAAGAGATGGAAGAAGTGTAACATACACGCCTAAGCGTTGAGAATCTTGAGATCATTTTGCTGCCACTTGCATACAAGGAAGCAACACAAGGAAGCAAGTCCGAAGTCGAAGTGAAGTGAAGTGTGAAGTCGAAGCTGCATGATCCTCGGAGATATTTTGATATATCTCGTTGATACTCCTGGGAGCTTCTACTACCATTCTCTCCAGTGGTTTTACTCGTTGGCTCTGTACCAGCCACAACCCATTCCACGATTTCATCAAGCATCGATATCGTTGTTGTCGTCGCTCCTTTGAAGATCCGTTTTAGATGGATCAATTTGGTGAAGATAAAAAATCGGTTATATCGTACTAGGCTTCCGAAAGCAATGCCATCTGCCCCCGCGGAATAAGGCTCGTTCTACTCTGTTTCATATGTGTGATTACTTCTTACCTGTGAACTAGACTACTAGAAACAGACTCGTTAAAGCCCAACCTAAGCTCAGCTTCCTTCCGTCCTCGTACGTAAGTTCGGAATATCTCATGACCATGAAGCAGTAGTTCCAGGCTCCAAATAATTACATGTCGATCTGCTCTCATCTACAAGGAGTAGCTCATAACCTTTGTCCTAGATTTCGTTTCCATGAAATGTATACAATGTACAGTCGGAGATAGAAATTCAGTAATCGATATATTATACACTTTCCTACGCGAGAGAAACCAGAACTTGTCTCTGCAAGGTGTGGTGTCCCTGAGCCTCATACTCATACACGCAAAAATGGACTTCCCGAAGAACAGGGACTTCTCACTCGCTAGTGTTTGTCTCTCATGAGTGTTGCAATGTGTGACACGGACCAATATCAGGCATTCCCTTCTGATAATGCTTCACTATTTCATTTCCTTCAAAACAAGGACACTCGAGATTACTGACTCACTGGTGTATGCCGAGATTCAACGACGTATCAAACTGGAGACTCTTACCTCGCCTTCTTTTCGTCATTACTAATGACGAAGTAGTGACTTCAAAAGGATAGTGACATGACGTCTGGTAACCATGGTCTCCTCACAGACAAAAAAGAAGAAATATTGATATCACACCACATCACTTACCTGTCCTTTAGTTGGAAGTACTTCGGAACATTTGATTCCATGTTGAATGACACACTTTTTGTACTTAAAAACAGATGGACAACAAAACTTGTAACACTGGGTCGGAATTTCGAAAACTCATCACTTCAGATGGTCAAAAAATTGATATTGTGATAGTATACACGATGCATTCGCATCCATAAGAACAGATCACTGGACAGGATCCCCTTAAAAACTGCATAATTGCTCAGCCAAGAAGATTTGGGATCTGCTGCTGGGATCCTCACCTAGTTCCTCAAATACCCATTTGAGTGCTTAACCTATCTACCTATTCCTAAAGAAGCTAAACTGTTATCCGCTCGCGTTCCGACCTGTAGTTGGGTGCAATTCAAAGCAGGGCCATATTTTCCTTTTCGAGGAGTTCAAAAACCATGGGTCACCGAGTCAAACCGTACCCAATGATCAATGGAGTTACTCACAAAATAGCTTTCGGTGCAATTCGTTCAAGCATCAATCTCCATCGCTGACTTCTTCACAGCTGCCTTTGCTTCTTCACTTAACTTTCCTTTCTTAAACTTCTTTCCTACTTTGACCTTGCCTACCTTCACCTGCACGGTAGACACAGTTTTCAGGCAAGACATCGCGGATGAAAAAAATTGGGAATAATGCTATCTCAAGGAGCGAAATTAGGAACTGCTATACAGTGAGTACAGCATAAATAGAAACAGTGAGTATCCTACCTTCAGCTTGTCAGTCTTTATTTGCTTCTTCTTCTCCTTTTTCTCTACTTCATCTTTCTCCCCTAATTCACACAATACAAGCCGCGAAAGTCAGGCTGTGGTACACAAGGCAGCAATTTGCGCAAATTCACGGCTATCTTAGAAAAATGTAAGAAGTGAAGAGGACAATCAAATTTCAAACAGGATGATCAAATTCGCCGGTGTCCCTAAAACTCAGTTCGAGTCCACTGAGAAACGAACGATCTCTACAAGTTCACGTTATATCAACTTTACGAGAAAAAGGAACTGTACTTTGCCAGACGGATTCTGGATTCTACAATTAACATTAAACGCCACCGCGACGTCACAATGTACCACGAAGAGTGAGCTCTCTTCAAAAGTAAACCCAATTTGCCTCGAGAGACATAATGAGGAACACAATTCCTCCTCCCTAACAAAAAGACCTTCTAGGGCACCTAATTTTCACCCGTCAGACAAATCTAATGAAAAAAGTCAGCGACCTTGAAAACTCAAACTGCTGCCAGTGGGAATTCTCACTCTTAAGATCGAATTGGTGCAACCTGGCACGCGTAGTTTTATTGTTCTTCTTTGACATGACTACTGCTGGCTGGAGCTGGAGACGGAAATCACAAAAGTGGACAATTCGGAAGCCTTTCGCTTCTTCGAAAATACGATTGTACTCAGCAAATTGAGATTCGCGGAAAATCTACAACGAGGTCAAGTAGACCAGCCAAAACTCGTTCTCTTGTTTCATATGCCTCGCTCGCTGCCCCGTCGAGGCTGGAAGACAATCCTGCCTGTTCTGTAGCGGTTTCCGGTTTCGCCTTAACGGAGAGAACCCTAAAGCCGCACCGGATAAGACGCTCTCGCCCGTCCCGTCTTAAACCCTAAACCGCGATCCACCCGAAATACGTCACATTGTACATTAGTCAATGCACTCCCTTCTTTTATTTGAGTGCTCGCAGAGGATACCATAATCTCTGATCACTTTACCATTATGTAAATGAGGTTATCATCTAGATAACTGAAACGTTACAAGCACGTTAAAATATGTTTTGAGTTGTGCATTTTTTGAGAACTATCACGTGTCATAATTTTTTAAATACATCTTATATCATTGGAATGTATTGTTCATTGTATCTTTAGATTTAATCACATCATTTCAACTTAGAAAAAAAGGTAAAATGGATTGACCTTGTTAGAGTTCACTTTTCTTTGCAGTGCTTGGAAATTTTAATATTTTTTAATTCATTGATAAACAAGAATAAAATATGTATTCTAAACAGCAACAAAAAGAAGATTGTACATTAGCATTTTGGTTTGGTTTCTTTGTATGAGATTGAACATTCAAACTAACATGCCAAGTTAGCGATTTATTTTTTTGCTTTATGTAAGGCCGAACATTTTAAACTGATTGCAGAAATGTACGACGTTAGGTAAGTAAGATATTTCTTCAAACTATTCGATGCATTCAAACAAAAATTGTCGGTTGAAAAATTAGGATAATTTTTTTGGTCAACTACATCAAAATATTTTTGACCTCATTTGGTGAGCTTTTGAGATTCACATGTATTATACATAAATATTTCTTTATGTTTCAAAGAGAATGTAAAAAATGATCAAAAATAAAACAAGTTTCCCAAATAAAAGATAAATTAAAATCTGGTAGTATATGTTTATTTCTTTATTTGACAATGATATCTACAAGAACCTAATTTCTTTTAAATCACATCACAAAACTATGCTCCAACTTAGATATCTATTTAAATTAAGCTTTATTATGTACAGATTTTTTCATTAGCAAGCTAAATTAACTTCATTGAAGTGAATCTAACATTTTGATGTATTCTACTTCTAGATCAATAGTTTCTTCACATCATTGAATGATTTGAATATTCAATTTTACAAATTCAGTTGATGAAATAGATATTTGATGTGTTTAATAGTGTTAAAAATCTTTTGTGCTTAACCAATCGATCACACACGATCTCGGTGATAAATTCATAGAATATTGTAGAAGCTACAACCTACAGAATGAGATCCAAGGGGTATATTGCTATCTATGAACGTCACGTACTGCAGTAGATGAAAGAAACGCAATTCGTTGAGCAAATACAGTGGTCGAAACAAAAGGGGCAAGTGGATAGCCAAAATACAGTAATGCAAAGATGTGAAGACCCCAACGCTTAAGAAATCCAGAGGCTGAGCTGGAGATCTGAATGATAGACGCCATGTCAACTTGCCAGCTCGTTCCAGACGTCCGTAATGTTAACAGCGGAAGCCGGTTCCTTGCTGATCGGACATGAGTGACCGTCTGAGTCGGTCATCTCTACCTACGAACGCAGACCGGACAAGAAATCCATGCGCCAGGACGGTAGTTGGGGTTTATGAAACATGGAAGTAAATTTCTTCAGCAAAAACACGAAGCACGTCCATCGACTACGCAGGGTTCTGCATATGCAACGAGCCCTAAACCCTCACCGCCAGCCCCTCTGCTCTTTGCTCCTCTGGCGCTCTCTCTTTGCCGATCGACATCCAAAATGCAGCTTCTTCAATCCGTAGCTTGTTACGCGGGGTGTCTGTATCAACTCAGCTGCAGATCATTCCTGAATCCCGATGTGTAGGGCACAATTCGGACGGATTTGTAGTTCGAGCCGGATCGCCGGCAAGGTTGCATCACTGCGTATTTCTGGTACGTCACGACGAGGTAGATCGGTGTAGCTCTGCGGAGCTCATGTAGTAATGAAGGGTTTTGGAACCAGCGCAGCAGTTTATGGACTCCTGAGAAAGCAACTACGAGCTTTCAGCATTATCGAGGAACAGAGTACCTCTACCTCGCGCTGGTTCCGTAGGGCAGAGTGTCTGAATTCTTGCTCGTCATGCACTGCGAGCGAGAAAGGGATTTCGTCTATATCAACAGGAGGATGGGTGCCAAATTCTGCTTCTCAAAGTCAAATTAGTGAAGGTATGACCATCTCTGCCTCTCAGCTAGACGTCACTCTGCGCTTCAGTTCTAGTCAGATCAGAAAACGTGGGAAGGGTTGAACTTTCACAACATTTTTTTCTGACCCTGGCTGTAGCTTCAATGCAGTAAGTCTCTGCTATGTCCGTTGACTGGAAATTGTTCATCTCACAGTCGGAGAGGCCAAAATGATATCTGATTTGGATAATCGTTGCAGGCGAGACGGTGATCGATCGGCCGGAACATAAATCGGAGGATAGCAGTGTGTTAGAACATGAATATTCCTTCAGAAGCACGAGTGATCGTAGTCTCTCGTGCAACTTGGTGCATCGTAGAAATTATTCAGTGCTGCCAGTGGCGGACGTCGGCAGATGGATGCGGATATCGGGGGCTTATGCAGGTCCTCTTTTGACACCGCCTGTTAGAGACCCATTCCGCGATGGCAGTGTGCGATACAAGAGTAAGAAGAAGATTAAGAAGGCCAAAGCGAAGAAGAAAGAAGTTCTATCGAAAATCAAGAGAATACGAGTTGCATCTAAGAAACGGAAAGAAGATATGACGCCAGAAGAGAGACTGGAATTTAGGCTTGAAAAGGTAAAGTCTTGATGTGCCCCTGTCTTGATGTCTTTCAGCACCACCTCGGACGAGGCCTGCTTTGGAAATTGCTCGATTGGAACTTCGACGTCGCTGACAGTGCTTGTATCCGTCTCCTCCTTGTGAAGGGGAAGAGAAAGATTGAACTGATTGACATTCAGATTGCAAAGTTTCCAGTCCAAGAGCTTCCGCCTGTGGATCCGGACATTGAGGTCTTGACTCCGGAGCAGCTTCATTATCTGAAGAAGATCGGGTACAAGAACAAAAACTACGTACCTGTAGGGCGCAGGGGAGTTTATGGTGGAACCATTCAGAACATCCATCTCCATTGGAAAAAGCACGAGACCGTGCAAGTGGAGATTGCAGGGTTCACCAAAGAAGAGATCAAGGACATGGCCGAACAATTAGCCAGACTCAGCGGTGGACTGGTGATTGACATACACCAAAGTAATATTGTTATTCTTTACCGGGGGAGAAACTACAAGCAGCCCAAGGAGTTGATTCCCATTAAGACTCTGGACAAAAGAAAGGTTCGTCTCAGTCTGTCCATTCGCACCCCTGCTTCGAGATCAATGTTCATGCTCATGGTCTCGACAAGATTCTGTGTGTCTCAACCAGTCTCATTTTGTGCATCACGTCAAGTCAGGAGTATCTGGAATTGACATCTTGAGAACTGACAATTTTCATACAATTACCAGAAGCAGTTTTTCCCGCTCGCAGTCTGACGGTTTCTAGCCTCTAGCATTTTCAAAGTCCCAACTTCTTGTTGTGCATGTCTCGTATGCAGGCTTTGATGAAGTCCAAGTTAGAACAAAGTAAAAAGGCTCTGATCCTAAACAACGAGAAGCTGGTTAAGGAGCTGAAGCAGTTAAGGAAGGATAATGCCGACTGGCTAGCAAGGGGAGGGAAACCTGTAGAAGCACCCCAAGCTACCGAAGGTGGTGAGGCTTCAGCTACTCGTAGAAAGGGACCGACCGTCGACGAAGAGCTGCAAGATCCTGATTCATACGCGAGCCTTTCAGATGACGACGATGACCTCCTTTCAGATGTGGAAGGGCTGTCGGATTTGTCAGATCTCACATCCGAGAGCGACAGCGAAAGGGACGAATCATCATCGGGTGGGGAGGAAGAGGAAGACGAGGAGGAGGAGGAGGAGGACCCCGAAGACTTGGGCATGCCACCCGAAAAGACTGCTGTGAAATTTCGATAGATTTTTGCAGTAATACCGACTCTGAACGTACTCCTCAGCATTAGCTGTTGCTCAAATTTGTATACTGGATGCAGGGTCAAAATTGTGGGACCGTCGAATGAGATTATGGTCTCCCCTTTGAGAACAAGCTTGAGTAGGATAGCAACGGGCGACATGATTCTCTTTAGCCCCTCCGGTCAGTATCCTTCATTTCAGGCTGGCAGAAAAGGATTAGATTCATCAGATGACGAGCCTCAAGTGAGAAACAGTTTACGATGGTTTTGTTCGTTGCAAGTGCATCAAAAGACCGATTGATCAGATGAAAGCTGGCCCACCAAATCTACGTTGATATTGTGCCACTCAAATATTGCAAAACTTGGCGCCATTGTGTCAAGTACCATAAGTTTCACACCTTTCTCTTGGCTTGCTACACGTTCGGAAGATTGAACTGTTTCGCTTCAAATGTGATGGAGTTCCTTTTAGAGCTCGATGGCTTGTGATTCGCGTTGGTTTAGGTTTCCGACGTTGTACTAGAATTGCATCAACCCCGCCTCGGGGTAGCTTAGAGTATCTTCCAATCTCCCTTGGGTCTGATAAAGTTCTCTAAAGGCCCATCACATTTGACGTCGAGGGAGGAAAGTACTTCATCGGATCCTTTGGAAACTCAATCGTTTTGAAGGGATCCAACGGGTTTCATTTTACCCGATGGGACCCCATTCGAACGCCACCGTAACCCATGTTCTTATAACCTATTGAATTGCTCTATAGAGTGGGGAGTGTCTTATAACCTATTGAATTGCTCTATAGAGTGGGGAGTGTCTGCCACTGTCCGGCCAGAGTATTTTGGTGACTCGTTCGCGACCATATTTAAGGAAACGAAGGGCACCACGAGTCTGGATATGGTCTGGCCGAAATAAACCCCAGATAACATTGGAACATCACTGACGGTGGGGCTGCGGGTTCTACTCGAAATAACCCCAGATAGTATAGGAACACCACTGACGGTGGGGCTGCAGGGCTGTGGATGGGGTCCCCTCAGGTAACTGAAACCTCTTGGGTCCCATCAAGTGTTTGGAGTTTCCCCGGGTCCCATCAAGTAATTTCCTCGACGTAGAGGTATTTGAATACATGTGAAGGTCGGCTAATGTTTACCCAAAACATAATTATACAATTGTGTATCCCCAGATCACACCGATGGATTACCTCGACGAACATGATTAACTACAAGTGAAGGTCAGCCAACGTTTATCATGAGAAGCGGGAACGGGGTCAGGTGGGTGGAAAAGATACGGGGAAACCTATCATGTCTCATCGCAGGAATAATGAGAATTCGTAACATGGGTACCTAGATTCAATATATCAAGTTCGATTCAATAGGTGAAAGAAAGAGAATTTGTAACATGGGTACCTAGATTCAATATATCAAGTTCGATTCAATAGGTGAAAGAAAGAGAAATATAATATGCTCATCAATCACCAGATTCATGAAATGTAGAGTACTTTAATGACAGTTGGAATTTATTTGGAGACAAAAATTCTACACTGAAGTAGATATATAAATACGTTGGCCTAATTGCAATTTACCCAAACAAAATCTAAAATTAATTATTGATTATCACCCTAAACCCTTTAATTATACAAACGAGTTTTTGATTCATATGTCTGAAATGATAAAAATAAAACATGCTAACCATGGATGCACTTTTAGTCTATACAACCCTAGTTTAGGTTGTTATATTCCTTAGGTTCAGAAAACTACTTACCCCTCTAACGCAAATTTTAAAATGAATCAATTTGAATTTATTTTAATTAGCCATATATTATTTATATTTGTGAAGAAAATTTTAATATAATTTTCTAAAATTGATAATAAACAGCATTAAACTTATTTTCACTCAATTGTATATGTAAATAATATTATAATATACATAATAAAAAAAACTTTTGATATTCAATATTGTACAGTTCTACAAATATCTCTATTCCCAGTGCGGTGACATTTTGAATAAACTATCCATTCTATCAAGCTGAAGAGATGATTCATGAATGGGGCTGTTGCTACTTTGGAATCCAATTTCCGACAGTGATATGATGAATTAGTCAGGTTATATATAAGGACATATCTTAGACTTTACTCGCAATGAGATAATCTGCGTGCCAAGTGTGGATATTTTTGGGCTTACATATGTAGAAATATATACAACCGCTGATTCAATATATCTGTATCACAGAGTTTGAATGCAGATGCTCAAGCTTGAGCTCATTTTTCACCTGTTGAAATTGTGATTGTTTTCGATAAATTTATAAGAAAACCATATACTTTAATTCATTTACGTTGTCCTGAATTCAACACATTCTGCTCATTCTCGAACTTCAACTCCTATTCGAAGTCCATCTGTAACGATTTACGCTGGTAGATATTTGATATAACTATTGCCTGCAGAGAACGTTCATGAAACTTAGACGTTGTTAAATTTGATTCAGAGACCTTTGTCTTGATCACGAGGACATATTGAATGTTTGAATCTGATTAGCATGACTGAATTGGAATTAGAGCTCCAGTGGTGGATCTGTGATTCAGCTACATGTGATCACCGTCTCATTCATCTCCAGTCACTTTGAATGAAATTAGAATTTAGCTTGATAAAAATACTTAAAATTGTGGTTTTTACAATTTTAATGTTCTTACTTGGATTGTAAGTCCAGCTGACTTAGTTTACAAAAATGTAACCCCAAGTCAAGAATGAGCCAAAAATACAAGTAAAATCTGTTACATTCATATATTCATGGTTGATATGCAGACCTCTTAAGGTTAGGCTTTCTATTAATAGACGCTTAATCTTCCTAATCTTAAAATATTCTAATATACGACTAATTTTACCTAATATTGGGTAATTTGTATGAAAGGGCAAGGGCACCCTCCTGTCGCAGCAGGGCAAGGCTGTCGAGCGGGTTTGTTCCGAACTGCTTGTTGAGCTTCAGATTGGCTACGACGTCGATCCATCCAGAGCCGGCTGACGAGGACGACATTCTCCAGCACGGCCTGTTCAGCATGTCAAAGAAGAAGGTCGTCGAACACATCGAACTTCTGGTGCATTCAGAGCTTCCCCTTGCTTGATGAAGCTGACAAGTCCAACGTTGTGAATTGCGTCGGCCAGTTGTTCATAGAGATGGTCGAAGGGATGGGCAGATTGTTTCGTTGCGGGACGAGAGAAACGATGCCAGCGACCAGGGGATTCCGCCGGCGCTCCCACAGGAGTACGCCGAGTTATTGTCGCGTGAGTTGTTCCAGATGGTCTTGTTGATGAATCAGCGTCTACTTTCCACCCCGGGCTGTACCGAATTCCGCCTCGATGCCATCTGCAAACACCACAAGATGCTCGTGACTGAGGCGAAGCAAGAACTCGTGGCGAAAGCCCTGAAGGAGTGTCACGATGGTCACTTTTCATTCACCGACGCGTGTGCGATTCCCTGCCTGGACGGCAAGTACAAGGATCTCGTAGAATTTGCCGGCGGCTTCGCCTCCTGCTTTCCCAACACTTCTACGATTGAGGCCGAATTCTCCCATCTCAAGTACGAGAAGGACGTCTGGCGCAAGTGCCTGTCCGACCTGATCCTACAGGGCATCCTGCACTGCCAGCAGTACCCTCTCATCCAGAGCATTCCCACCAAGCTCCCAAAGCCTGCCCTCACCTCCCCACATGTCTTACCCGTTGCCAAACCAAACGAAACATGTTTTTAGAGCAATTTTGTGAGACGCCTAATCTTATATTCTACAAACGCCTATTCCTGGTAGAATTAGGCAAATTAAGCGTACGCCTAACCTTAAGAGGCCTGTATATGACTCATGGTTCAGCAAGATATCAAGCATGAAAAAATATTTATTTATAGTGTCCATTGCATATGAATATTCACATGAGCGGAAAACTATAGAAACTTCCAAAGCTTTAATAGATAGGGCCTCGCACCGTGCACGACCACTGTCTTCAGCTATGTTGTGTACTATCCACAAACTCTACATTTAATCAGCAAGTGGTGGTAATGAACTGGCCGGGCACACACACTCCAGGCTTGGCAGCCTCCAGAGTTGGGGGCTCGTTGTAAGGTCTGTGTGATTTCAGGGCTGCAACCGTTGCTATATCTTGATTGAAAGCTATAGCTGCTGCACGTTCGGGCAATTGCAAAACTGCTCCAGCGGAGTCCTGAAAGAATAAGATATTGTAAGAAATCCTCTAAAATAATGTGTGATTCATTGTTGTAGACAATATAATAAATATGAAACTTATGTCTACCCGGTTCTTCTTCCGTTATTGTATTGTTCTTTTTATATCACAAGAAAAATTGAGTAACCTTGGTAGAGCAAAGAATTATAAGAATGATATTTACCAAAGTGCCCGGATTTTGGCTATTCAGAGCAGAAATATAGAAAGCTGTTTCTGTTCCAACATTCAATTCAAAATGTAGCAAACCGCGAGGAAAGACGATGAGATCTCCCGGGTACAGAATGTGGATGTGAGCTTGTCCTGCAATGGAATTGTGGAGAAATGAAATGTTAGGAAATTAGTAATTAGCCCTTTTGTTTCTGAATCCGAAGGATAAATGTAATGAAACTTTGCATCAGGTTCAAAACTTTCAGAACCTTTGGTGTCAACGAAACCAGCCTGGAGGGGACCACCACTGATCAAGGAAAGGAGCTCTGTGGCACGAGGGTGGGTGTGTGGTAGATTCTCTCCGCAAGGTACCATCTTGAACTGAACAACGGTCAGACCCTCGGACCTGCAAATGCCCGAAAGATAAAATATAAAACTTTATTTAGTCAACCAAAAAATATCCCTTTGAAATAAGACATGTCTTTCATGCATCTGATTTATAACCAGCAGGAAAGAAATGTATTGTTGGAATTCACGTACGTAAGGCCTGGGAACTTTCCGATGTCGAGAGCTGCTCGAACGCCTCCAGATCCAACAGATACATCTCCATTGACAAAGATGTTGCGGAAGACTGGTGTAGTTGCGTTTGCTGAAAAGTCGACCAGAGGATCGGGATCGGCAGCCTCGACTCTCTGTACCAGCACCATGCATGTACTGTAAATGAGAACAAACATGACCATGCCATGCACGATCTTGGACTTGCAATCCGCCTCCAATATGTTCATGATCATCATCTGCATTCCACTTCGAATGTGGAAAATGAAAACAGTGGATCTGGTAGATAGTCGGTTCTGTGGAAAAAACTGATCCAAGAGGAGGAAGATCTTCCTGAGCCTGCTGGAGAGTTGTTTTGAGCTGGTCTTTATACACGTAACTGAGGTGTGTCGCCTCGAATTATTTACTCAGACATGTCGTAAATCACGTATGTAAAGGCTAGTTTATTGAGATGCTCTCACACTTAACGAGTGAAATGGTGCGTTGTTGAAATTCATGTCTAGGTCACAGTCCATCTTCTAACATTATTCAGTGCATTGCTGTTCCCAACATACTTGTACGAGAGTTGAAAAGTTCTTATCTAATGTTTTCTAGATGTCACGGGAGGTCCTCTTTATTCCCAGATGGGGGAAGTAGAGTCACTTTGAACTCTTCGATTTAAATGATCATGAGCTGCCACACTGTTCAGGTTTTGTCATAATCTACAATTTTTCCAAATTCAGCCAAAACCAGTAATGCAGTAATGCATGTGCGCAGATGAGACTTTCGCGCTCTGATCATTCTTGCGAGAGATATATGAAGCCTGTGAACTTTCTACAGACAATTTTTACCTGGGTACGCATGCAAATTTTCTCTCAACATAATGTGAGCAATGTGGGTCAAACTTATATTGTTTATACATTTTGTGAACTTGATTACGGAGAAACGAGCTTATTGTGAAAGACAAGTGCACTCCTACAGCCTGACTCCATGTTCAGTGACTTTCTTTTATTAGAATGTGGGCAGTATGGTACCAACATATGTGAAAGATTCACTACAAGACAATAGGACATCACTATCTGGAAATTTTGAAGTACCTATACAAGCCAAAGATATGACGATGCACTTAAATTTAACCTTAACTTAAATCTTTAGAGAATTTAAAGATAAATTATAATTCTCATAAGAAGCCATAATAATTCTTTAAGCAATCCTATAAAACTTTTTATTGGATTTTGCAGAGATTTTGTGAGTATACACAATCTTTATTTTCATACATGAGACTATTGTATATCTGCAGAATATTAATAAAAGTTTATATTTCAATAAAGATAATTCTTACAGATTAAATCTTCATATATTACATTTTGAAGTGTTTGAGAAGCATTAAATTTTGTTCATATATAGTTATAGTTAAATATAGTTATCTTTTGTTTAAGGGATTTTGCTAGAAATAAGTAGATAAAGCTTTGATAACTTTCCGCAGAAGAAATTCAGTAAATCAGTTGTAATAATTTTCAATAGACGTGTCTTCAATAAATGCATGCATTGCTTTGGTTATTTCTATTACAGTTTTTGCCCATGCTTGAGTCAAAAGTTTGTTCTCATTATTTACAAAGTATTCAATCCCATATTTTGATAGCTTAAATCTATATTTTTAATCTCATATCCAATATCCAAATAAGTTATTTTCTTCTTCAATGAACATTACATAGTTCATTTACTTTATCTTTCACACGGTTTTGATAGAAAACGTTACTTCTGGTCTTCAGTCAGTAGATTACTACTGGTTGGAGTATATTTTGGTTTGTTCTTGAGTACTGCTCGCAGAGGTTCTATTTTTTTGGGTAGCAAGGACACGGTGGGGAAAGCCTGTACAAATATCGGGAATATACCCGACACAGTTTAACCATGTGCCAGGGGTTTGACAGTCCCCTATCCCTTCGGTGAACAGTGAACATCAGAGTTCGTTCATTCAGTTGTGTGTCTAGACTGAAACCAATTTTGCCGTCTTAATCAGGATTAGTTAAAGTAGATATATTGGCAAGATTGTACGATCATCAGGTTCTGTTTTTCAATGGAGAGGCTTCGGAAAAATGAATATGACCGTAATATTAGTTTTCAGTAATATATGCCGGAGGCCAAAATCTGATGGTAGTTGAAGAAGTTTCAATGAATGATATACTTCCAGAGCGATATTCATGATCGTGTAATGCAAAATTCAGGATTTATTTTACAAATTTTAAGATAATGGGTGAGTTCAGAAAGTTACAGCGCAGGATATTGTACTGATAATCTGTAAACTAGAACCTTACGTTTCGGCTCATGTAATTGAAGAAAATGAAACTCAAACGTTGACAGTATAATACTGCACAATGACCAGAGACCCAGAAGTTCCACTCACATGACATGCAGAAAATTATAAACGAAACCTCTTCAATTCTCAAAAAAAGATGATGGGAACAGCGCTGCATTGTATACTGTTCAAAGTTGGAGTGTTACCCAGACATGAATTCAGCAACGCACCAGTTCACAAGCTAAGCGTGATAGCATTTCAATAAACTGGCATCCACATACATTTTTTACGACATTTCTGAGTAAATAATTCGAGGCGACACACCTCAGTTACGTGTATAAAGACCAGCTCAAAACAACTCTCCAGCAGGCTCAGGAAGATCTTCCTCCTCTTAGATCAGTTTTTTCCACAGACCCTGACTACCTACTAGATCCACTGTTTTCATTTTCCACATTCGAAGTGGAATACAGAAGACGATCATGAACATATTGGAGGCGGATTGCAAGTCCAAGATCGTGCATGGCATGGTCATGTTTGTTTTCATTTACAGTACATGCCTGGTGCTGGTACAGAGAGTTGAGGCTGCCGATCCCGATCCTCTGGTCGACTTTTCAGCTAACGCAACTACACCAGTCTTCCGCAACATCTTTGTCAATGGAGATGTATCTGTTGGATCTGGAGGCGTTCGAGCAGCTCTCGACATCGGAAAGTTCCCAGGCCTTACGTACGTAGATTCCAACAACACACTTCTGTCTTTCTGGGTTATAAGTCAGATGCACAAAACACATATCTTATATCGAGGGGAAATACTTTGGCTGACTAAATAGAGTTTCATCTTTTCTCTTTCGGGCATTTGCAGGTCCGAGGGTCTGACCGTTGTTCAGTTCAAGATGGTACCTTGCGGAGAGAATGTACCGCACACCCACCCGCGTGCCACAGAGGTCCTTTCTGTGATCAGTGGTGGTCCACTGCAAGCTGGTTTCGTTGACACCAAAGGTTCTGATGTTTTGAACCTGATGCACATCGTCATTATATTTCTCCTGATGACTTGGAAACAAATGACCAAAAGGGCTAGTTACTTGTTTCTTAATATTTGATGTCATTCGACTGCAGGAGAAGCTCACATCCACATTCTGTACCCGGGAGATCTCATCGTCTTTCCTCGCGGTTTGCTACATTTTGAATTAAATGTTGGAACAGAAACAGCTTTCTATATTTCTGCTCTGAATAGCCAAAATCCGGGCACTTTGGTAAGTCTTCTTCTTATAATTCCTTGCTCTACCAAGTTTCCTAGATTTCTCTTATGATTTGAAAAGAGAAAAAGAAATCACGGAATAAGAACCGGACAGACGTAAGTTTCACTTATATTATGTTGTGTCCAACAATAGAACTACAAATTATTATCAACGATTTCTTATTCTATCTTCTTCTTTCAGGACTCCGCTGGAGCAGTTTTGCAATTGCCGGAGCGTGCAGCTGCTATAGCTCTCAATATTGATATTGCAGCCGTCCGAGCCCTGAAATCACAAAGACCTTACAATGAGCCCCCGACTCTGGAGGCTGCCAAGCCCGGAGTGTGTGTGCCCGGCCAGATGATTACCACCACTGTCTGACAAGATATGGAGTGTGTGGACAGTGCGCGACGTAGTTGTAGAAACTGGACTTATCGTGCACGAGACCTACTGAGGTAGATAGTTAAAAGTTACCCCAGTCCTCTGCATTTGTTTATGTGCACTGGTTCCCGTCATTTCCTTAGATCTGACATCTTGTGAAGCCGTAAGCTATACTTATACAATAAAAAGTGGAATCTCTAAATACTTGTTCACTCGGCAGTGTGTTTTAGTGTTGAGGCTTGGGCTTCAAAATCGTAAGAACATTTTTTCCACATTTCGAATTCTGTGTTCAACAATTATGTATATTGCACTGAAAAAATATCAATAGTAGGTGCAGTCATGGGAACTCTTGCAACCAGGATCATATTCGCACGTTTGCCCGTCGATCTGATACCATAGATATTGTCAGGAAAAATGTGAGTTGATAATCGCTCCCAGACGCTAACATTGCGATCAAGTGCCGTTACATATAGTTGGAACATTACAATTCTAAAGCTTGACTTTTAACATCAAAAGCTGGCTGAACCTGACCAAGAAAGCTGTTCTTCATGTTTCAGTTCGCTCGGCTTATGTGCACGATCACATGGATTCAATATTAAAGGTCTGCATGATATTGAATTCAAGAGGACTGAACTGAAAACAAATATTATGTTCGAAGTTAGATCTATCGATGCACCATTAGACGTACCACCATTTTCATCAACTGCTCCCACCACACTGTATGCCCACGGAGCAGCATGGTCTACTAATCAATGGCCGAATGCTTCGCCTCCATCATATGCACCCTCTTGTTTTCTGTCTCGTCTGCCTGGTCACTCTCGGGCCTCGGACGTCTTCCCACCGGGTTTCCCGACCCTTCCAACAGCAGTCCTGCACATTCGCCGAGCCCGTCAAATCCTGTGATTGGTCTGCGGGCACCGATCCCAGCACCAGATGACGAGCCTGGAGTCGTGGAGTCGTGATATCTCCTCCTGAAGCTCACCCTGGACTTGTTCCTCATAGACCTCTGGGCAACCCCATCACAGCTACAGGGCAGCTGAGGCCGCCAAGAGGAATCCCCGTGCTGCTCATGCATCCGGAGTTTGTGAATGGTGACAGCTTACTCTTCCGGTGCTAGGTTCTCACCTCTGATTATGGTCGATGCTGGTAACGATGTCTATGTCGGCCACCAGCACCCGCCCACCACCGGGGACAATCACGTCATGTTGGAGCCCAATCGGCCCGTAGGCGAAAGATCGATTGAATTCGACAGCTTAATCGAGTACGCTCTCAGATGTACGCAACGCTAGTAGCAATCTTTCGAACATGAGACTATGCTGACTCAAATGAACTAGAGCTTCAAGAATGAGTAACTCACATTTCCTTACATGAAAGCTTCATCGATAATACCCAAAACGAACTCTACCTCAGATCTAATTCTTAAATCTGAGGTAGAGTCAAACTGAGGCTACACAGATACTGTGTTGCAAATAGTGGCATTCTTGGATTGAGGTACAGGATTGATAATGTAAATGGGTTCTGTCGTGGTATCTACTCATTTTCTGTCCTCTAGTTTCAAACTAATTAATATCTTTAGTCTTTATGCCTTCTACATAGTCATATGTTAGGAGTGTAGGTCCTAAATAACACCAAACGAGAAAAGACTAAATTTGAAGTTCTTCTAATAAAAGTCCACTCTGCGTTGTTCTCACATCCTTTACACACAATTTCCAAAACTTGTCTTTGGAATTATTCAATTCAGAGAAAACCATACTTTGTTCTCTAAAGTAACCAATATTCGTTGAATTAATTTTACCATAATTGTTATCACTTCATCCACAATAAAAATGTTATGGGCTAGTTTGTAAACCCCTAATAATATCCATATCATTTTTATGTGTGAGTATTTTTCCTCTCAAATCTCTATTATATTTTTCAGTTATAGATGATTTTATTTCTTCGCTAAATTTATTTTCAAAATCAAAGAAAAAATATCTAGATCTCGAAAATATTGCCGAGATATATCTGAGATAAAACTAGCCCACAAATTCTAGTAATATGATTATAGCAAGGGATTTAAAAACAATACCATAAATTCACATTTGGGATAAAGTGAGTTGAGTGCCCTGGTCACGGATAGCATTGTGGATGTTCTATTACAGACACTCCTGAGTAGTATCAGTAAGAGGTACTGCGTTCCCGTTGATAATGTGCAGCTCACATTGACAGCGAATCAGGCCTCCGGTCTGCAAATTTCAGTTTCTCCTGGCTTTGCTGTCCGTTAGTTTGAATAGGTTCAGCTTTGAAAGCTCCCGTGGGATAAAAAGAATGTGCACGATGAGAAACTCAGGAATGGATGGTCATAGTTAAAGTTAGTTATGTTCGACTTTATTCCTGCTAGGATGCAGTGAAGAAAAGTTTCCGCGACCAATTATCACATCCATTGTCCAGGCAGGACCAATGACCAGACACGAACAGAGTGCAAAGTGCTGTTGTGAAAATTTAGCTCATCTGCTTGATCACTCTCGAGGAAAGGAAATGAAGCAGAAACATTTCTGAATGGTCACAAGGAAGCAATTTCTCAAGGATTTTGCGTCGGCCTGTGTCCGTCAACATGTTCTCATATCTCTTAAAGAACTCGAACTACTCTCACATGCCATGGAAGACCATCTATGATAAGTCAATAAATCAATGCCTCCGATAGTCAAGGCTTAGCCATCATAGTTTTCTGCAATCTCCAAAGCCAAATTTCACCTTGTCAACATTACTCACAGCTTGCAGTCTTCGGTGTCTTCATATTCGACCGCAAGCGAAAAAAGATCAGAGAGAGGTTGCAGGAAGCTCGTCACATCGGATGATCGCTGGCAGGCATTCAAGCACGCGGTCCCTCGACTGCGCAGAGCGAGAAGTGATCGCTGCTCGGTCGCCCGCCTCACGCTGTGCCCTCCACATTATCCCCCCAGACTCCCCTCGCTTCCGCTGAGGAGCCCAGATCAGAGACTCCGCGCTTCGAGTGGACGTGCCTTCGACATGGTCCCAGCGGTCCTCTGCGAGAGCCCCAGCTTCCATCTCTCTTACTCCCGCTCGGGTTACAGACAGTCGCTACGCTGCCCAGATGTTAGAAGTCCACGCAAAAGCCTGTCTTATTGTATCTCTATGAATCCTGGCGTGCATTATGGTTTCTCGTTCAGTGTTGTAACAATGATGCCATGTCCAGGAGAACTGTTCCTTAGATGTACTACATATTCTTATTCCTTGGTGTATAGATCTTTCTATGCAACCACTGCCTTTCCGAGGATAAAAAATAACACAAAGTAACGGCTGTGTCAGTTCTAAGCACTTCGAATGTAATGTGCAGATCGTTTCAGAGGACACAAAGTCAGGTGTTGTTTCTGAGAAACCATGGACATATTTGGATGCTATGGAGAAGGCTGTGGCAATTAGAAGGGAGCTCATAAGAACTAGTCCAGATACTCCTCAAGTAGCTGCCAACTGAAGTCGACTGCTGTTTCGAATGATTCAACCGCAGCACACGATGCCTCTCGAAACTGCGCTTCAACATCATCTTGACTGCCTCTGAATCAAAGTCCTCGTGCGTAAAGCTTCATGTTACAAAGTGTTACGCACGAGGAGGTTTAAGATTCGGCGAGGCTGAGGATTCTCAATGCCACAGCAGCATCAATTCGAAGAGTTCATTGATTTGTGGTGGTGTCAGTTTACCTCCTTGTACCCTGCGTCCAAGAATCTGCTAGCTTGCTCGTTTCCTTGGAGTTGGCAAATAAAGACCCTCTACATTAGCTGAGGGATGAACTGACCCCTCGAATCCTCTACCTCGAAACGACAGTAGAATCAGAGATTATCTCCTAGTATCATTCTGATACGCTATTCTTTCTATGTACAAAAGTATATCATTTACGATGTACATGCGAGGTGTACTTTTTGGGACAGCCTGCACATTGATTCAGGAAGATATGGCCGATTCCGGTGCAAGACATGGGAATTGTTCTTTTGATATTGTTTGCAGGAAGGTGCATGCAATGCTCTAATCTCAGGAGTTCTGAATTCATAAGAGTGTAGAAGTTCTTCATTTTGAGATTGTACGCCTCAACTGGGATACAACATTGATCTCACGATCAATGATGTATCCCAGTTGACTCTTACAATGTCTGTGACCCAGGCAGAATGTATCGGATCTTTTTATGTTTCATGGTGGGATGAGCTTTTACGAATTTCACTATTCCGTACTGGTTGGTCATCGATTTTGGTTAGCACGTTCACTATCTCCAGCATACTTCCGTCCGGAAGTTCACATCTTGCACACTTCGTGTTTAATCACTCTGATCTAACCGGCCTGCATGTCGATATGAGCCAAGCCGCTGATGAGGAGGATGCTAATTAGGATTCAACCCTGTCTTCATAAGATGGACGGCCGCAAGAAGGCTCTTTTTCTTCGTACTATAGAACTTCGTGGTAGACATGCATGTGCACATAATGATCATGAACAGAATCCGGGCAAGTAAAGCGCACAACATGCAAGAACATGACCGCATTAAAGACGTCAAGGGCTTTCAAATTGATGAATACGCAGGAGTTTGATCGAAATGCAATTCCAAGACGGCACCTGCATGTAACCACCAACCAGAAGCCTATTCAAACTGGAACTAACAGGCGTTCCTCCACAACTAACATCGCTACTGAATAGTAGCTCCAATTTTGTCCTTCAAACGAGGATACATTTGAAGGCCGCTCTCCATCACCAAGGTGGACGTAATACGATATTCGGGAGGACTATTGACGGGACACGCGCGGATAAATTCAAGAAACCGAACCAGAATAGCTTCTGCTACCTTGCAACTCTGGAAAGTCAAATCTTTCACACCGCCAGTATAAAGACCCGCCTGCACATATATCACAAAGTTCTTCAGAGAAACCCCTCAGGTCTAACCTCATTTCACATTTTCTAGATCGAACGGACTAACCAATAGCGAGAAAGGATGATTCTAGCCTGGACCTTGTCGAGCCAGCAATCCCTGACGGTGAAGGTGAGCAGTCTCTGACTCCCTACCATAACTCAAACTGAATGCGTTTCAAATCTGGTGATAAAAATCAGGGAACCCACCTGGAACGTCAGGAACTTGCTGTCAGATGGTGGCTCCAGTTTGCCACTCTGCAGCCAACGATCTGGGTTGAACAGTGCAGCATCCGGACCCCAGATAGACGTCATTCGAGCAATAGAATATGGTGCAATGAAGACTACGTTTCCTTTCTGGCTGCTTATGAAGACGTCTCCTCCTAGAAGTGTGTCGTCTTCTTCTATGTCCCTGGGGTCTTGCACGAGGGGCAAGCACTGCTGGTTACAACACCTTACCAATCTATATGAATCAGATTCATGTCGTGGCAATTGGGCACCATATAATCTGTTGAAAGGTCGAGTCTCCTCGTTACTTGGTCCTTTGTCTAGCCATGTTATGATATTGCCCTGAATAGATTCGAGTTCGAGGTCTACAAAGATGAAGATGACAATCACGTTCCAAAACCAACGATGAAGGAAGATGTGGCTCATGAGACATACAAGAGAGACTTCGACTTTATCCCGCGGTCCCTCTTGTTTGTCTCAAGAGGGACCGTGGGGTGAAGTCGAAGTGTCTCCTGAATGCAAGCATGGAAGAAAGGCAGCTCATCCAGAGACTAGGAGGTGAGAAACTCAGCAAAATCACGAATTTGTGAGTCCATCCAGCGAATGTAGTCCTCGTCTTGCAGGTGGACATCCCAATACTGCTCCACCGAACATTCACATTCGAATTGTCTCCAGATCTCACAGTCTGTGAGACGCATCCGAGTGCATACTCAGCTCGTAGACAAGCCACGTGAGTGTCACCCCAATAGCATCCCGACTGGCGATCACGAAGTTGATGACGATATGCCGCAGTAACTGCGTTGTCGTCCCTCATCGTGAGGTTGAGAAATTTGGAAACGAGATCACGCGCACATACGGGGTCTGCAGGCATGACCACAACAACTCAGCTCGAATCTATATATCAGATTATCATCCATTGCATGAGGACCACGATCATGCTCTGGGACTGGCGAGTCTACCGAAGTCTACGCTGGTGCCACCAGCTGCAGCAATTCAGAGAGCAAGATGTGAGATAAGTGAAACATACTCCTTCGGCGTGAGCCAGATCGTAGACTTGCCCATGAAGATGCTCGAGCTCGGCTTTTCTGTCAGCAGTCACGCTAAAGGTAAACCCATCCACTACCTGCATTTGCTACGGTAGCACGCGCTCAGGTCCGATGTTCAAGTAACGCTTGAGCTCCCAGAAAGGATCACTGAAGCGCTTGACCGCGATGCTGGTGGCCAAGTCCAAAGACGAAGCGAACGCGATATGTGGCCATGGCTTTGGAAGAGCAGATGGCAGAGAGGGAAAGTCTACTCCAAACGCCACTTTTCCGATCGCATCCAATGTCGCCCTTTGAATCAAATCCTGTTATCGTCCACAAGGGAAGCACATGTCAAGTCAGTTTGGTCTTGCACAAAGTAATCATCGGCATCCGAAACTCTCTTTTTTAATTTGTTCCAGGAATGCGAAATGTTTTGTGCTCATCCCTTTTCTTCGTCGACCTCAACCCAAAGGCTGTCGGATCTGCGGAGGTTGGCGATGGATGGGCAGCTCAGACCAGGAACCACCTTCGACGACATAAGTTGTATGACTTACTTGGATATCCACGGTGGTGCCTTTTCCAGTTACTTCAGCCAGAAGCCGAGCGATTGTACAAGTTTTCTTCTTCATTACAGCAGCAGTCAGGTCGCAGACAGAAGGTTTGCAGAACTCCGAGGCCACCCACTTCTCATAATCCACGACTCATGAAGCTCTTTCTGGCCCAGCAATACTTCAATGCGGTTAAAGAAGCCTTTGCCCTGTCAATCGAAGCCCATTACGACAGCACATCAGACACACAGCCCCTCACAAACTATGGTCTGCATGGAAGACGAGACGAGATTCGAGGGCCGATTCGGCTGATGGGACAGACAGACCTTGAGGAAGTTGACGGAGTTCGTTGCGAGCAAGTACTGAACATTGACTGGATCCACGGTTCAGTAGTAAACGCGGCCCCAGGGCATGCGTGAATGGTTTTGGCGAAGAGGAAGAACCCCAAGAGCCAATCGTGGAGATGACAGTAATGTGTCGAGATGTCGCAGACGCTGGCCAGCAAGGGCCAATATCTCTGCCCCAGACGAGCATTCTGCTTCAACCTGTAGAAGCAGACGCAGAGCACCAGAAGCACGATGACACAACCCACCTGCATAATGTAGCTGTTGCATGTTTCAGAGAGATATACCAGGCCATGGTGACCACAGCTTACCAGTCGATTTCCTTCTCTGGCAATCGACTAGCAACTTGTCGTCACCATGGCCTGGTACGTCCAAGATCTCTGCAAGGAATTCTGATTCTCCTTCTCCGAGCAAGAGGGGGCCATTTGCTCCACCATGTTCAGAATCTCCTGATCTTCGTCAGCCTCTCATGTTTTGAGAAGCAGTTTGCTCTTCGCCGTGCAGAATAACGAATTTGTGTGCACGTGTCTAGAGCATCTACATGTTGCAGACGAGTGCTTAGTAAAGTGCCTGGCACCACGCGATCTCCACAACCACGAAGGGATTGATTGTAAGCTTAGCGACTACTGGCCACATGCTGCCTTCAAGATGTTCTCTGATCCAACAACTTCACTGAGCATACAAACGCTCCATAGCTCCGATTTGAGATTCAAAAGTGGTGAGGCCGTTGAATGGCATCTGGTTACTGGTCGGTCTGTACGGGCTAGTTGAGGGCACAAGAGCATCCATGGCAAGGCCCAAACTTCAAATCATGGCACGTTGTGAATTTCGAGCTCTGAACACGCGGGAGCGCTCGAATTCGTGCACGTTGGGGGCGATTTGATTTGAAATTCAACTGTCATGAAGCACGCGGCACGAGGCTCGGGGCCGAATTGGAAGGGGCGCGGGGCTAGATCGGGGAGAGGCTTCTGGCATTCGGAAGTAGGAGCAGCAGGAGGAGGGGTACAAGGCCCCAGGCATGAGATGAGGTTGCGGAAGCGGTGCAAGATCGGGATTTCGAGCTCTGAAGTTAGTACGTTCGACATGCGATAGAACGAGAGATGGTGGACATTGCAAGTCTTAATTTTCTGGTTTGTGGTCTCCGAATTCTTCACTTCCACCCCAGAATTCGAAGTGAAGGTTGTAAACTATCTAAGTTGAAGCTGCAGCTATCCGACACCAACTTGTAACCATTTGCGCATCAAAAATCCCTGTGACAAGGAAGGACTGCAACTTGAAACTGCAAATTCATATTGGATCTGGAGTTGCTGGGAGTATGAGAGCGTGTCTAGAGTCTTTTGGAATGCTTTGTTCGACCCCATGGTGAGAAGTTTTAGTGTAATTGCAAGAATCTCCGACGTAACTGCAAGAACTCAAAAGAAGTGTTTGTCTTCAATGTTTTGAGAAGTAGTTTGTTGTTCGCCGTGCATAATTACGAATTTGTGTGCGCGTGTCTAGAGCTCTAATATTATCAGCAATTTCACTGTAGACTCAAGATCATGTGTTTCCAGTTTGAAATTGCAGTCCTGGCTTGTCACATTGATTTTAGATGCAGAAAGGGATGATTTTCACACAAAAGTGATTAATATTTTATCAACGCTTGAACGGAAATTCTTCTACCAAGACACAAGAATTTCAATCATGTCCATCAATATATTAATTTATCCAGATCTATTAAAATAAGCTGGTATTAAGAATTTCTGATGGCAATAGCGTGTAGGGAGAGGTTTGGTGTAGGTTTGATCGAAACGACTTCGACGAGAATCTGAAACCTGCGAGTACGCCCGTGTTGAATGTAGTAACTGGAAATTTGGGTTTGCCGTGGTGTTGAATGCAGTAACTGGGATTTTGGGTTTGCCGTGGAGTATTGCGCAGTTAGGATAGGTAGAAAATAGTATCATGATGGTGTTCTTTGCATGGGCAACTACTCATATCTCTTCCCTCTTGGGTAATACGAACATCCCGTTCCTGTAAGACAAGTTATATGTAGATGGATACTGTGATTGATAAGATAGGAAGGAAGCAGAACTAGGTGTACTTTTCCGCTATCTTCTGGGTACGGCTATCGGTTTTACACTCACCACCAGGTTTACAACATTCCTTGGATCACAGTGTTTGGTGCAATCCAGAACCCTGTTTTTTGAAATTTCTATCGATTGTGGATGCTGTCATGTCTACCATATACTCATTAGACCGGCGCTGAGTATTTCCAGAATGGAAATCTGACGAAGTCTTTTAGGTCCGATCTGGTGAACTAAACTTTCGCCTTCAAGCCTGTGTTGAAACACAGGCTTTAGATAATATGGCTTTCTCGTATTTTTTAAATGGTGCGGATTGAAATCCAAGACATTCTATAAGGGCCACCTGGATTTGAACATGAATCTGAAGATGAAGAAGAAGGATACGAGATCGCGGATAGGCAATACTACCTTGATGTACACAGTTGTTGCTTTGGCTTTTCAGGGTAATCCTACGTATTTCAGCGTAGGAATATCCACACCTGGCACCAGACTGTCAGAACGCCAGAAAATTGTCTAAGTTTTCCTGCTACCAAAAGAATTCAACAAATCAGTGTTGGAGTATGAATTTTAAAGCACCAACTTTAGCCGCATTGATGAAAAGTGATCTCTCCAGCTTGATCGAGTGGATATTCTGTAAAACCTTCAACGTCTTGGTCACCATTTTTGGAAATATAAATACGTCTAGAAAATTCATCAAAAAGGTTCATATATTTTATTTTATTATCAATCTAAAAATCTCTGCTACAATCTCAATTATCTGGTATTAGCAATATATAGACCTTGTATGTCAGCTTCATGATGAAGCATTCATAAACCTCACTTGCTCTTCAATTTTCCTTCAGGCAAGTAGATCTACCTCGTATAACAGAGTGTAATCTTCCTGTTTAGAACCACGCATCATCTTCAAACTGGAACTATGACCCTAAAACTAGCAGAAATGGAGATTGAGCGTGCATTTACTGTTAGTTGCACTGTACATCCAGAATCTTGCCAGCAACAAGTTTCATTGTTTAGCGAATCAATGTTTGTGGCACAGTTCATATTTCAGTGCTCAGAACAAGTTGAACCAGTCTACAGATGTAACGAAGAGACAAATGTGGCTCCTCAAGCTTTACCCTTGAAGCAATCAATGGAGATGGGACAGGAGAAGTATTCAAAGTCTACAGTCTATTGTTTCGGAAAACATAGAAAAACCTATGTCCCAGAGAATTTAGGTAACTAACCTCCAAACTGGTCAGGCTTGTTTTAATGTTAGCCTAGCTCACCTTACAAATTTACAGCGAGAACTTGAAGGATTCCACTTGTAATTTACCATCTCAGAAATTGGAGCTCCCCTATGATCAACTTCCACAGTGCTAAAGGTAGAAGCTTTGAATCTCGCTGAACATCAGGCTGCTCAAAGTGGATATGTCGCCAGTACCTTACCAAGTACAAATAGACCCTGCTGAAGGATCATTCTCAGCACAGATTTGGCTCAGTCTCATTATCGCAAGTCAGCAAAGCAACATTACCAGGCCAGCTTCTGCACATCTGTTCTCTTCTCTGCACGCTGTAAGTAACATCGAATGCAGCCTTGCTATTGCAGTCCTTATTGTTATATTTATCGTAGCACATCTCTTCCTCAATCGAAATACTTGTGATCATTACCAAGGTCGAATTTATATCTAGACGATTAGTTTGGTCAGCAGTTTCGGACTTATTTTGTGGATTGATTTGTCACCTGCGAGCAATTTTCTCGATTATAAATGCATGAATCAATTGATTTTTCTTGAGATTCGTGGAGTTTAAACTCTTGGAGCTAACCTGGATCTCTAACTTAAACTATGGGATTCAAGCATTCTTTTGAATTTCAAGTTGTACATGTTCCTAGTTCTCCAAATAAATGTGGAGCCTGCTTACCTACTTACACCCACGTGAGATCTGACGTTCTGAGGATCTCTTCACTGCAGATTTGAAAAATGGAATTTCCAGTTATTGTTGATGCCAAGTACTGCTCGCCCTCGGAGGTGAAACTCACAGTTGCCAAGAAAGTATTGGAATGCAACAATGGTAACTTTGTCATCACTGATTCTGAGGGTCACACCCTTTTCAAGCTGGATCAGAAGAAGGTCTTCCTACGAGAACTGACAGTTTTGCGCGATGATGGTGACTGCCCTGTGGTCAGCATTCACAAAAAGGTCAGTTCTATAAGATATTGTTGAGATCTTCTTAGCTGTCTAGCCAAAAAGCAGATATGATATTCTGGAGACGGATTAGTTTGAAAGTTTGTCGATTCGGGTTCAGGTTTGTGGTTGCAGCCAGAAATCTGATGTCAGCATCCTCAGTGCCCAACCGGAAAGAACATTCCAATTTGATCGTTCCTAATCGGATGGAAACCTCTCTTTCCGAATTGACATTTAGTTGGATGATATCCGCAGTTCAGTTGCCTGTGATTGCCCACCCTCTTGAATTTTTCGTCCGTAGAGGAATCTCTAACACTCCCTGTCTACTTGTTTACGATTGATAACTCAGCAATGCAAATCAACCTCAAGGATTGAAATTATTGATGTGTGCATGCTAATCTTTGCATCAGAAAATTTCTCTTCATGACACGTACCAAGTATACGAAGGAGAGAGTTCCAAAGAACTGTTCACTGTTTGGGACAAAAACATGAGGGACACCGCAGAATTGACATACGAGATTCAACTCGAAGCTGATTCAGAACCTACATTCCAAGTGAAGGGGGATTTCGTCCGTCGCAACTATGAAATCATTTTCAAAGAATCGTCAATTGCCGCGGAGGTATGTTCTTCAGCAGTTCAAAAATGATAAGCAAAATGACATTGTTACTGTCCTCAGGTTTAGTCAGCGTCCAAAGCGATTTGAGATAGAACATGTGTCCAGTCATGATATCAGGTGAAATAGTTTCATTCTTGACTATATGGAAATTGATGTGCGAATTTTGTATGCAGGTTGCCAAGAAGCATTTTTCCCTGACCTCTATGATCACGGGTAAGAGCAATTATGGAGTACTTGTCAGTCCCAACGTTGATCAGGCATTCGTCTCTGCCGTGGTTACGATCATGGAAGCTATCCACAACGAGAACAAGGAGAAACATAGTGGCAAGCACTCAGATTGATTCAAAGAGCACTTTCCCAAGCTGTCTGTCAGAGAACAGGATCGTTTTTCTCGGATATCGACATACCAAGTCCATTATGAATAGAGAAAACTTGTTTTGCAAAAGATGATGTTTCTCCAGATGCGAAAAGCAGATTAAGCTGACCATTTGGGTCTTTGCTCATTTCGAAGTATTGAATAAACTGAAATTTTGAGAAGTTTGAGCAATTTTGTGTGGAAGTACAGTCTCCTGTGAGTATGGTCGACGGTGTGTTGTAGGTCCGATATTGATTGTAAGATCGTTGTAAAGATCTTCAACTTGGAGGTGAAATTTCTTATGGTTAGGATTCTAAGCTTGCTTCAAATTTAGTGAAGCTCGTGGCTATGCATGTCTTCAGCTTCTAGATGGGATGCAACCTGGTCCTGGTATAGGTCGATCCGGAAGGAATTGTTTTAGACTAATTTAGTAAGCGTCTTGAGATTGATATTGCTGGTGAGAAAATGGATTTCTTGCTGTCAGTATACATCTTTTCTTACCTCAACTTCAACTGCAGTTGCTAGTGAGCCAGATCTGTTGATTTGCGGCTCAAACATTTGTTTTCGAACCTTTACCTTAAAAAACAATTCAGAGATATTGAATCCTCTTCGAGCTTTTTGAAACACCACTGATATTCACAACAGATGCTTCAACGCTGTTCCCGTATGCTGTGAAACTAAATTCTCTTTATTCATCGACCATGCTCTCTTTATCTCCGTTGACATTGTATAACCTCGGCACGTATATATGTCGTTCATTCAATCATAGTTACTACCTACTTACTGAAAACTTTGGAAAATATTCGGTTGCATTCCTCTGCTGCGTTACGTCTAAATTCATTATTCTATTCGCTTGGCTGAAGACAGGAGGAATCCCCTTAATTGTGTGGTTAACATAGCTATTTAGCACCTATCTCGTTAGACATCCATCCTTCCCGGATGCCTATCCATACCATTGCATGTATATACATAGAATATGAAAATTAGATTTAAATTTTATCGTTAATTAACTATGATTATAAACAACCGAACATCCCGATCGCTCAAACATCTTAGCGTGCTATATCTGATAGTACAAATTCTTCCCAGACAGTAAATTTCGTAAATTGTCATATATGCCTTAATAATAACGAACATGGTGTTCAGGTCTACAAATAGAAGGTCGAACTGAGTAAAGAAAATCTTCAAGACAGTCGGTGGATAGAAGAGGAAAATATCAGAATAACTTAATTAATGGGACGAATGTTAAACAACATACACAATCTCAGAAAATCAGACAAGTATGCGCTGATGAAAAATAACAAGAATTACTTGTAAACCTTCAAAATATTCGAAGCCTTACTTCGAATAGGCCCGCAAGCAATGTGTGTAACAACTGAGATGTTGGATCATCCGCCAATGAAGTAAGCTCATCGTGGCCAGTCTTGACAGGATCATCTATCACTTGCTCCTCTTACATCATGAAAGATCGAGCAGTTCCTCCAATGGAGTGGATCCAGCAGTGGCGTGGGATCCTGAATGGTGCAATACAGTAAAACTAGTTTCAGAAACATGGAAAAAGCAAGTTTCTTTGTGCCACGAACTATCCTGTTCCTTCCTGAAGAACTTCTATCCTAAATTACTGGCCTCCCTCGGAACGTCCTCTGAAAAAGTGATGAATTATTTGTTCCTGTTACTCAAAAGTCGTCTGTCGATACAGCCTTCGTCCCGTGAATTCAGCTTAATTCTCCATCGTCTAGCAAAATCATCTGTGCACTACAGTTTGACTTCTCCCCGAATCTCGTGATAATCACTTTGCTGTACAAACTTAGTGGTAGTCAAAATCTATCGATCAAGCATGCTCTAAATACGTACTCGGTGTGACAGGTATGAACAACACAACTGATTTTCTCCACAACAACATGTAAATACTCGTTCGGTTCACTTCGAAGCATAGTGATGTTGCCTGAAGACAATAATAAATTGCTTTTATGCTGTAGAAAACAGTTCACGGTGGTTCCCCGAGATATCACCAACACTCGAATAAGATCCAGAAGCCCTTTATTGAATTTCGAGAATAGTCTGAAAAGTATACTGACCGCTAAATGACTGAAGTAGATACAGATATAGAAGTCACTTATCTGAGTCAGGTATACTTTTAGAGTGCTTAGTTACGCTTATTCGTGTCCTACCAGTTTAAACCATCTCCATGTTAGGCTGCATGGGGAGTTGGGACTCCGGTTACTTGAGGTTGTCAAATTCAAGTTGAAGTACGCTTCAAACTGTCTTCAGCCTGACGACAGTCTAAGATTTCTTACTTAGAACTTTCCATCCTCGCTTTTTGACAGTTTCAGACAGAGCCTTTGATATTCGTCGCGTATGTTCTGTCCGTTGTGGGTGCCCACAGCATGACGCCTCCATAGTTGCCGATACCTTTGATCTGCTCCAGCACGCCGCCGCTTTGTACAAGAGTGCTGCTGTCTATATATCCGGCAATAGCTGTGCTAGCAGGCAATCCCAAGTAAATCTCTGGTGTGCCGGGGATGTTGCCAGTCCACTGAGTCCAGGAACTCACTATACCACTTACACCTGCTTGGAAATCACAGTCAGGGTTGTTGTAAAATTGCACGAACACGAAGTCCGCCAAGCTTGCGTCCAAAAACTTGCCCGCCGCCGGACCCAGAGACGCGTCAGGAAACGGGCACTGAGGTGCGGCAGCCAAGTAAACTTGCTTGTAGTTGTTGTTCTGAGCTATCTCTCTCAATCTTCCTCCCAAATCTGAATAGAAGGAAGATCCGCCACTCTCAATGTCCAGATCAATGCCGTCCACTTGTGCTGCTCCCAAGGGGCTGTTATCGTTGCTGCCTCCCATGTAGTTATCCCAGATGTATTGAGCCAGTTCCCTGGCTTCGTCCGCAGAGTCCAATCCATAGCCTGCAGATGCTCCACCCAATGAGAGCAGCACTTTGATTCCTTGGCTCTGGCATGTGGCGATATCTGAAGCATATCTTGCACAACTTCCAGAAGGAGGATCGCAGTGGCCGGCCAGGTTTAGGACAGGGGTTTGGCCCCTGCCGAATACTGATAGGAAAGCTATCATGACGATGCCGTAGTTGTTGGAGTTACACAGATCGGCCAGGCTACCTTCTGAACCAGCGTCGTCATTCCCACTTTGGCCCCAGTAAGTTGCAATTTGACCTGCAGAAGAAAAGTTCACAGCAGAAAGCACGACGAGGGTGGTTAAGACAGAGCCTAGCACTTTCTTCTTGTAAGAGCGGTGCCCCATGATTTCTTTGTAGCAGATCGTGAAACTGATCTTGCAGTCGAGGAACTTCCACCGAATACCAACTTGCTATTCGAGAGTCGAGTCAGCTATTTTCATATACTTTTTCTATGAAGTGACCTCTCCAGCTCGAGCAGGCCTCTATATATGTCGCAGTATTGGAGCTCCTTATGATTCAGAGTTTGGAATCAAACTCGCGAAGTCCTACCCATCTTCTTTACAGATGTCGAGAGAGCTGATCCAATGAAGGTTGTGAGTATCAGATTGGAATGCAGTATTTAAACGTTTCACCTCTGAACATCAAGCAACAAAGCGTTTGACGTGACATGAGTATAAAATTAACTGTACGAATGAATTGGTCATGATGCTCACAAGTATCACATCGCTCAGAGAAAATGACTCAAACCGGAAGGATTGGTCGAATCACTTATCACTTCTCATATTATAGTCATTTATATGTATTGAAAATCTGTTGCCGATCACCATGGCGAGACACTTGACAAGAATTTTCCGATCTGTTTAGAATATCCGTCCATGGAGACATGTTGGGAGAGAAAGGGTGATGATCTCCGAGCAACACTTCAGTTAGCTCAGTTAGAATTTACTAAATTCAAAATCTATTTACGCTACTTTATTTACTAACTTGTTGCTCAGAACAAAGACTAAAATTTTCAAAGCGGATAAATAAAATTCGAATACACTTCTGGAAAGCATACTTTCCAGAAGTGTACATTATAATATTTTCTGACTATGGAAAAATTCGAGAACATAGAGACAGAAAAAAATCTTTATCAACCTAATGTAATCTATGCGTAATTTCTGTTTTCCAACGCATACGATTTTAATTTAAAACTTGCAAAATTCAATGAATTATCAAAATTTTTCTGCTCTATTCTAATAGTACACTCTGACTGGCAAGAAGAGTTACCAGTCCTTTCTTGCACTAGAGGTAACGTGGGAAGCTCGATATTGCACTCTCACACACAGTTGACCTAAATCAGCAAGAATGCTGCTGCATATCAAATTTGAGCCAGAATTCCCAGCTCAATCTCTAACATTTACAGATCAGAGTTGCTTTGTCGTTATTTCCCTATCACAGGCTTTACAGATCCTACATTTCACGTGCCTCGCAGATGCAGGAGCACCTCTTCAACTAAAACGTCTCTCACTTGTGTCCTCTTCTATCAATTGTCATGCAGACCTTTATCATTGTATCCATATGAACGTGCCGATCGGCCGAGACCTGTCTGAAACATGAGGACCAGCTTTCTTGGTCAGGTTTAGCCAGCCTAAGCTTTTGTTGTTGAAAGTCAAGCTTTAGATTTGTAACCATCCAACTATCAATAAAGAGAGTGAATAAAGTCCAAGTTTAGTTTCTGCGACCGTTTTGTCAACTCACATTTATTTCAGCATATCTGTGGTATCAAATCAGATCGTTGAGGGAGTTGCCATGAATGATCTACGAATCATATACTTTCAGTGCAATATAAACGATTGTTGAAAATAAAATTCAGGATCTGGATTTGCAAGTTTTAAGATATTGGTTGACCTCAGAAAGTTGCAGCACATGTTACTATAATGATTAGCTCTAAAGAACAACTTGCAGCTTCCCCCTATATGAAGACAATTAAGCGAAAGCCTCAATTCTATAATACACTGCAGAGGGAACAAATACTTGGAAATTATACTTTTTATTGCTCAAGTATAGCTTTCCGCTTCACAAGATGTCAGCCATGAAGAATAGACGGGAATATGTGCATGTGAACAAGGGCCGAGGGTTGTTTGAACTTTCAAACCTTTAGCTCAGGAGGTTCATGCACTATCTGTCCAATTTCTTCACTTATTTATCACATTGTCCTCACACTCGACATCTTGTCAGACATCTGTGGTAATAAACTGGCCTGGCACACACACTCCTGGCTTGGCAGCTTCCAGAGTCGGGGGCTCGTTGTAAGGTCTCTGTGATTTCAGGGCTCGAACCGCTGCAATATCAATATTGAGAGCTATAGCAGCTGCACGCTCCGGCAATTGCAAAACCGCTCCAGCAGCGTCCTGAAAGAAGACCACATAGATAGAACCATCGATAATGATGTGTAATAGTATTGTTGGACACACTACAGTATATACGGATACTTAAGTCAATCCGATTCCAATGGGTGTAATGGATTGTTGTCTTCGATCAGAATAAATATTGAAGAAACTTGGTAAAACACGGAATAATAAAATAGAATGAGACCTACCAAAGTGCCTGGATTTTGGCTGTTCAGGGCAGAAATGTAAAAAGCTGTTTCTGTACCAACATTTACTTCAAAGTGTAACAGACCGCGAGGAAAGACGATGAGATCCCCTGGGTACAGAATGTTAATATGAGTTTCTCCTGCAGTCAAATGGTCGAAAATGAATTATTAGGATCTGAAAATAGAGGGTTTTTCTTCTCCTATATCTGAGTCCCAGGCAAAATCTAATGATCATGTGAATTATGCAAAGAAAATCAGAACCTTTGGTATCAATGAAGCCAGCTTGGAGAGGACCACCATTAATCAAGGAAAGCAGCTCTGTGGCACGAGGGTGGGTGTGTGGCACGTTCTCTCCGCATGGTACCATCTTGAACTGAACAACGGTCAGACCCTCAGACCTGCAGATGCACGAAAAGAACAAGAGAAAATCATGCGTACTTAAGCAAAGACTTTCTTCGACAAAAACATGTTATTTTGTGTATTTGATTTAGGACACTGCAAGAAAAGAATGTGTGGTTGGAGATTATGTACGTAAGGCCGGGGAATTTGCCGATGTCGAGAGCTGCTCGAACTCCTCCAGAGCCAGTCGTTACATCTCCATTGGCAAAGATGTTGCGGAAAACTGGTGTAGTTGCGTTTGCTGAAAAGTCGACCAGAGGATCGGGATCGGCAGCATCGACTCTCTGTACCAGCACCATGCATGTACTGTAAATGAAAACAAACACGACCATGCCATGGACCATCTTGGACTGGCAATCTGCCTTCGAGAAGTTCATGCTCATCGTCTGTGTTCGATTTCAAGTGTGGAAATTGGAAACAGAGGATATAGTTGGTAGTCTTGGCCTATGGCGAGATGATCCAAGAGTTGGAAGATCTTCCTGAGCCTGCTGGAGAGTTGTTTTGAGCTGGTCTTTATACATCTGACAGAGCTTTGTCATCTAGAATTCAATACTCAGAAATTTCGTATTTTATGTATCTGGAATCTAATTTCCTCAAATGCTCTCACACTTAGCTTGTGAACTGGTGCGTTGCAATATTTCATGTGTGGGAATGCTCCATACTTAAAAACTATCCACTGCAGCGCTGTTCCCATCATGATTTTGTATGAGATTTGAAAGGATTTCATCTCCTCTCGTCTAGACGCCATGGGAGGTCTCTGTCAACCCATGATGGTGGAAGTAGGGTCAGGTTGATACGTATTATCGACTCAAATGATTATGTGCTGCCACGTTGTACATATCTTGTGATCATCCACATAATATTCATGTTCAGCCCAAATTATTTGTATATATGTTCGCAGATGAGACTGTCGCGTTGTGAAAATTCTTCTTAAAGACATGAAGGCTGTGCATGTAACTCCTGGGACGCTACTATTTTCAATACGTTTCATGCACTTTTTGTACTAGAATGTGGGCACTTTGTGTTGAACATATTGAGTGAGAATCAATTGAACTTGATCCCGGATAAATGAGTTTACTGTGAAAGATTAAATTATATCCATAGCCCGCCTGTAGAAGTGCATTTATAGAAACATCACTTGTATGGATGATGTGATGTCAAGTCAAAAATATAGCGCTTTTCAATAACTGAAACTAGACCAAGAAAACTGGTCGTCATTTTTCAGTACGCTCGGAAGAGGACCTCACATGAACATTCACAGATGAACAGATGAAAGCTTTTGAATCCTCTTACAAAAAATGATTTTAAGAGCCGATAGCGTTTAAGGTGGAGCATTACCCATACTTGAAATGTAACAACCTACCCATTCACAAGCTAAGCGCGAGAGCATTCCGATAAAATAGCACCAAGATACATCATTCATGACAATTTGGAGTAAGGAATTCGAGGCGTCCCAACTCATTCAGGTGTATAAAGGCAAGCTCAAAACAACTCTCTAGCAGGATCAGGAAGATCTCACTTCCCTTGCATCGGTTTTCGTCACAGATCCTGGCATCCTACTTTATCGAGTGGACTCATTTTCACACTCAAATTTGAATACAGACGGCGATCATGAACTTCTCGAAGGTTGATTGCAAGTCCAAGATGGTGCATGGCATGGTCATGCTTGTTTTCATTTTCAGCACATGCCTGATGCTGGTACAGAGAGTCGAGGCTGCCGATCCGGATCCTCTGGTCGACTTTTCAGCAAACGCAACTACACCAGTCTTCCGCAACCTCTTTGCCAATGGAGATGTAACGACTGGATCTGGAGGCATTCGAGCAGCTCTCGACATCGGAAAGTTCCCAGGCCTTACGTACGTCGATTCCAACAACACTTTTATATCTTGCTGGGTTATACATCAGATGGACAAATGAAGTGTCTTAAATCGAAGGGAAATCCTTTGGCTGACTAAATAGAGTTTCATCTTTCCTCTTTCTGGCATATGCAGGTCTGAGGGTCTGACCGTTGTTCAGTTCAAAATGGTACCGTGTGGAGAGAACGTACCACACACCCACCCGCGTGCCACAGAGCTCCTTTCCTTGATCAGTGGTGGTCCCCTCCAGGCTGGTTTCGTTGACACCAAAGGTTCTGATGTTTTCAACCTGATCATCATTGGATTTTGCCTGGGACTTAGATGTTTATGTGAATCCCTTTCCTGAATTTATTTCTTGACCATTTGACTCCAGGACAAGCTCACATCCACATTCTGTACCCGGGAGATCTCATCGTCTTTCCTCGCGGTTTGTTACATTTTGAATTGAATGTTGGTACGGAAACAGCTTTCTACCTTTCGGCTCTGAATAGCCAAAATCCAGGCACTTTGGTAAGTCTCCTTCTATATTATAACTTTAAATTTAAAAAGTATCTTCAATTTCATCTGGGATATGAAGAAAGTAATGCATTACAAGAATAGGAATACGCTCGATGTAGCTCTCCAGACCCAGATATACTACATGATGTCCAACAGTAGAATGAGACATTCCTATCAACAGTTAGTAACAACTTTCTTTTCCTTCAGGATGCTGCTGGAGCGGTTTTGCAATTACCTGAGCGTGCAGCTGCTATAGCGTTCAATCAAGATATAGAAACAGTTGGAGC